AAACATGCATAGTACAAGCACAACGACCGCATGTACGCAACCCACACATTGGAGAACCAGTTGTTGGTACTTCTGTTATTCCGAAAACCGACTGCTGCGCACACAACTCAACAATAACCATGACCCACTTGTCGTCTAAAGCCACAGGCGCTCGCGGGACCGAGGACAAGAACGGCCCAAGCAGCAGGAAAACAAACGCAAGGACGGCACGCAAAGACTATGTGCCCAACGAACAGGCCCCCAAACCCGTCGACCCGGTCGGCATGGTCGAAAGTCCCCCGCCCAGGTCGCCGCAGAGAGACGAGCTTGTCTTTCTCAAACCACATTGCGCGCGATGTGGCAGTGTGGGTGGGTTCGCTGGCACGGAACATAACACGGCCGCGCCCGGCCGCCCGAATTGAAACGTATGGGAGTCCGATGGGAACCCTATGGGAACTTCATGGGAGCTCTATGGTAGCCCAGTGGGAAGTTTGTGGGGGGCCCTGCGGGAACCCAACGGGAACCCTCTGAGAACCTTATGGGGGCCCGATGGAAACCCCATGGGGACCTATGGGCACACTTACAGGACGTTTGCGGGAGACCTCGTGGAATTCTGAAGGACCACCGTGGGAACCCGATGAAACAGAGATCCATGGGAACCCATCTAGAATCCCCACCTAGAGCTCTCTTCTGTTTGAACCGCTGGACGAGCGCAGCGAGGACTCCAGCGCCAGCCGCAACTCGGCCAGAAACCCCGTGCTGGCGGGTCCGGCTAGTCGAGCCCCGCCCTGGCCAAGCAAGCCCCGTCCCTGCGAATCAACCCAGAATTCCCCCCGCCTCTCCCCGGCGCCCCCCTCCACCGCCTGGCCCCGTCCCTGCCTCGCCTCTTCGCGCCCTCCCTCCGCCCGCCACCTCACCCCTCCTGTTTCTCGAATATCCCAGAAATCCGAGGCCGGGATGTAGAATGCGAAACGCGCAACGTGCAGAACCCTCTTTCCCGGACGCCACGGGGGAGCGCGGGGGGCCCGACTGGCAAATTGCGCCACCGAGGAACCCCACGTTGATGCTGGTGGCCGTTGCCCCGCCGATGCCGTTGGTGACGCCTGCCAAGCCTTGGGAGCCTGACTTGCTGCGCGAAAGGAAACGAAGAAAACGGCGCACCCCCCGTGGTGTGGAGAACCTGCCACGCCTGCCACGCCCCGCGACCTGGGGACGGATAGCGGCTTTGATGAGGCACCAACCCGTGCGCACCCCATGGTGTGAAGAAAATGCCACGTCTGCCGCGCCCCGCGACCCTGGGACGGATAGACACGACGCTCAGGGACCACGCCCTGCGCAACCCCAGTTGCGGGAAAATGCAACGCCGGCCACGCCCCGCGTACCCCCTGTGGCGTGGAGAAGGCGCAGCGTTTGCCACGCCCCGCGACCGTGGGACGGATGGAGACCACGGAGAGGGACCACCCCCTACGCACCCCACGTGGTGTGCAAATGGCCGCGGCATGCGGTGCGGCGGGTGACGCCAGGTTAGCGCCAGCCTGGCCGTCCTCGTGCAATCGCTGGACTTTCGCAGGCGGCTCGCCGTCGTCGTCCGCCTTCTGCCCGGGCAGATCAGAAGAGGCCTCTGCTGGAAGCCCGCCCAAAGCGGGGTCCAGCAAATACGCCACCAGACATTGCCTCTTGCCGTGGTCGTCCTTTGCCATGTCGCTGTGCTGGATCCAAAGTGTGCCCCGCCACCAGTTCTCGAGCTGTCGGCGATTCGCCTTGATTGCGCACTCTACCAGGCCATGCTGCCGGTCATCGCCTTGCTGGCTAATGTAACCACGCAAACCTTCCAACGAAATATCGAAGCCCTTGTCCGCCATAGCGTTCTTAAGCCTCAAGCATGGGGGCAGCAATGCGTCCATGGCAATTCCAGGCGGCATGACTGAAGCCCAGAGCACGGGGGCGCCTGCTGCCCCCGATTGGGAATCCTGGCCCACCCGCGTGAAAGCCCTAGCGCGCCGAGCCGGAATGAGCCTGGTGTTTACTTTCACCCATGCGTGCAGTTCTAGATGCATTTGATGGCAAGCGCAGAGCGTGCAAGCGCGCACCCTCTGGTGTCGAGAAACTGCCACGCCTGGTACGTTGTGCGCCAGCGCAAAGACCAGCGACTCCACCCCCTGCGCACGCCGTCCAGCATCGAACGAATGCCACGCCTGCCACGCCAGCCAAGCTGCGCGAGCGTGCGACGCATAACGACCGTGCGCACACACCTGTGCTTCCGAGAAATTGCCACGCCTGCCACTATTTGCAATCGTGCGTCGGATAGCGACCCCACCCCCTGCACACCCCTCTGTGGTGTCGATAAACTGCGCGCCTGTCGCAAAGCGTACGACAGATAGCGACACCACCCCCTGCGCACCCCCCTGTGGCATGGAGACAGTGCCACTCTTGTCACGCTCTGAGAGTGTACGACGGGTAGCGATCCCACCCCGTGCGCACACCCAGTGGCATCGAGAAAATGCAACGCCTGACGCGCTTTGCGAGCGCACGACGGATAGCGACCCCACCGCCTGCGCACCCCCCCTGGAATCGATAAACTGCACGCCTGCCACGCTTTGAAAGCGTACGACGGATAGCGACCCCACCCCCAACGCACCCCCCTGTGCTGTTGAGAAAATACCGCGCCTGCCACAAGTGCCACGCCTACCACGCCTTGCGAATCTTGCGCGCATGTGGGTGCCCAGCATTCGGTGCACACGTGAACACGCCAGGTGTGTACTGTCGATGTATGGTGTGTGTATGTGTCTGCGATTTGTGTTCATGCGTGCGGCTGTATGTAGACGCGTTTCTCATGTACGTGCCGTGCGTGTGTTACATGTGGGTGAGGGGAGAACGGACGAGAAAGGGGAGGAGGAGGTGAAGATGAACGCGGGTGCGACGCGGGGTGGGAAGAAAACCATACCCCACGAAACATGTGGGAAAATATGAAATTCAGCATCTGCGCAGCCGCTGACACCGATTTGCAAATTCAGGAAAATGGAGCACTTAGGAATTCTGGTTTCTGTTCTAAGGAACTGGGCCGCGTCTTCGGTCTGGCGGCAAATTATGTGGCCGCCGTCGCCGCCCCGTCGCCGCCTCGGCGCAGCCCGTCGTCTGGGCCGTGTCTTCGGCCTGCCGGCTACATAGACGCCGTCGCTGCCCCGCCGCCGCCTCGTCACCGCCCGTCGCCGCCGTTGGATTGCACCACGCAGATTGCACGAAAGTCAAGCGCACCTGCGGCGCGCTTTCTGAACGCTCACATTATAGATTGCACCGCATCTATTCTCCTTTCTAAGAAGAGAATAGACTATACCCCCACCCCCCTGGAATTACTGCTAACCCTATCGGGTATGGAAATCATACATGATTATGACCACATGTCCATCCTAACTATGAACTTACATTATCCCAGGGGGGGCCGGTATCTCCCCCTGAGGTCCCCTTGTTAAAAACACAATGCGGTGACATTTTTTATCTAACATGACACTTTTTCACGAACCCCTTGCAAAACGATAGGACGAAGTGCACACGCGCGCGTCGTGGCGCGCGCATGCCGAAATCCTTCAAAAACCTTCGGTGCTGGAAGGATTTCGCAATCGAGTTTCCAAACAACATACAACAACACAGGGTTTCGAAACACTGATTTGCTAAAAAAAGCTTCCGCGCGAGCTCTTGCGAAATCATACTTGCAAACAAGTAGGACGAAGTGCACACGCGCGCGTCGTGGCGCGCGCATGCCGAAATCCTTCAAAAATCTTCGGTGCTGGAAGGATTTCGCAATCGAGTTTCCAAGCAACATACTACAACACAGGGTTTCGCAACACTGATTTGCTAAAAAAGCTTCCGCGCGAGCTGTTGCGAAATCTGAAGAAAACCATTGGTTTTCAAGAATTTTTACAACATGCTATTAAACGGGCTTCGCGCGCGCGCATTTCGAAATCTGTCGAAGGCCTTGCGCGTGTGCCGTCGCAAGAATGCTCTGCAAAAAGGAGGGCGAAGTGCAGACGCGCGCGTCGTCGCGCGCGTATGCCGAAAACCTTCAAAACCCATCGGTTTCGGAAGGATTTCAAAATCGTGTCTCCAAACAACCTACAAAAACACAAGGTTTCGCAACACGGATTTTCAACAAAAGCGTGCGCGCGCGCTCTTGCGTCGTCGTCGTCGTCGTCGTCCTCCGTCCTCCCGCGTCGTCGTCGTCGTCGTCGTCGCCTACGTCGTCCTCTGTCTTTCCTCGTGTTCGTCGTCGTCGTCCTCTTTGGCGTCGTGGTCGTTTCCGTCGTCGTTGTCGCCGTGGTCGTCCTTCCTCCTCCTCCCTCGTCGTCGTCGTCGTCGTCCGTCGTCGGCGACTCGTCGTCGTGCCTCCTATTTCGTCGCCGTCGTCGTCGTCGTCGTCGTCGTTGTCGTCGTCGTCTTCCCTCCTCCCTCGTCGATGTCGTCGTCGGCGTCGCCGTCCTTCCTCCTTCTTCGTCGTTCGCGTCGTTGCCGTCCTCCCTCCTCCCTCGTCGATGTCGTCGTTGTCGTCGTTGTCGACGTTGTCGCCGTCGTCGTCCTTCCTCCTCCCTCGTCGTCGGCTTCGTGGGCGTCGTCGTCGTCGTCTCCTTCGTCGTCGGCGTCGGCGTCGTTGTCGTCGTCGAAGTCGTCGGAGACGTCGTCGGTGTCGTCGCAGTCGTTGTCGTCGGTGTCACCGTAGTCGGTGTTAAGAGGTTTTGCAAATCAAGTTGCGGGTGGGCGGGTGGGATGTTTGCAAGAGCGTGGGATGTGTCACATCATGGGTAAAAATCAATTGCACAACATAGATTGCACCATATAGCTTGCACCACGTATTTTGCACAAACTAATATATTGCTCGATTCCGCGATATAGATTGCACCACATAGATTGCACAACATAACATATATCGAAACCGGGAGGGCCCCGTGCCTTCCTCTCAGAAGGCCCCCCCAAGGCTTTTGTAGAAGGCCGCCACCCTCGCGCCGCCCCCTCTCGTGCGCGCCGCAGGCCTCCGGCGACGCGGGGCCCAGCGCAGCCGGCGCCGCGGAGCCTTCGCCGAAGACGGCGTCGGCCCACGGGGCGGCATCGCTGGGGCTCTCGGCGGCCTCGCCCAGCAAGGAGATCGCGGCGTCCACCTCGGCGCGGGGAGCCCCCGCCCCTGGCCCCCGTGCGGCGGAGTCGAGCCAGGCGGGCAGCACGTCCAGGAACGCGGCCTGGAAGGCGACCCACGCGGCCGCGGCTCGCAGCGCGCTGCTGCCAGCGCCGGGGTGCAGGCTGCGCAGCCAGCCCAAGCAGCTGGCCAGGCCGGTGCCCTGGCGGCCCTGTCGCAGGTAGCTCCAGAGCGACAGCAGCGCGCAGTTCACGGCCACCGCCAGCGGCAGCGGCACGGGCGGCGCGCCCGAGGACGCCAGCGAGGTCCCGCCCGCTGGCAGCTCGGGCCAGGGGGCATCGCCTGGGTCGCAGCTGCTGAGCGGATGGCAGCCGAGCCCCAGCAACGCCCGCTCCGTTGAGGAGCCGAGGTCGACAATACAATTACTCCAGGTGGCATCCGGGTGGACGCCCATGGCCAGCGTGTGGGCAGCAACAACGGCGGGCCACGCGTATAGCACGCGGTGCACGCTCGCCAGAGGGAACGGCATGTCGGCCCGGCAAGTCGCTGTGCCAGTCTGGTCTTGTTTGGGCGCGCCATTCAGGGGCGGAGAGTCCGGCGCCGCGGGCGCGGCGGCCGCGGCACAGGTATACCGCAGCCAGACGCACGACTGTGCTGCCAGCGGAGCCCACAACTGTGCGCCCAACGATCCTGCAATATTGCCGCTGACCGAGCCGGCCTGCTGGGATCTGAGCTCCTCGCTCATCGCCATCATGTGGCAGAGCAGCGTGAGCTGGGGCAGCAAGCGTGGCGGGGCGCAACTCACTGCGCAGCGTAGGACGTCCGGGTGCTCCGAGAACACCTCGAGGAGGCTGTCGCCCAGGGCACGGCCCAGCCTGTGGCCCGGCGGTGGCGCGTCGCGGGGCAACTCGGCGCGCAGCAGCACCGGCAGCGGGACGCCGCAGAGCCACTGCAGCGCGCGCTCCGCGAGCGCCCGGCCGCCGTCGTCGCCCACCGAGGCGGGGAGCTCGTCGTGGGCCTCGTCCCAGGGCGGTCGCCCGTCGCCGCTGCAGCCTTCGGACAGCAGTGGCCAGCGCAGCACCCTTGCGACCAGGGCCACCAGGGCTCCGCCGCGGGGCGAGAGCAGCAGCGACTGGCAGGCAAAGTGCGCCGTGGCGCCGGGCGCGCCCCCCTCCGCGAACTCGTCGAAAGCGAGCCTCAGGCGCGGCGGCTCCCGCGCGCGAGCGGGAGGCGGCACCGCGCTCGGAGGCGGGGCGTACAACCTCAGCGCCGCCCGCACCTGGCGCGCGAGGTCCTCCGTACCGCCCCCGAGGTCCGGCTGCCGGGCCAGCCACTCCGAATACGCCAGCACGGCGTCGTCGCCCCCAGGCGCCGCCAGGTCGGCACCAAGCCCGCAGAGGTGGGCCTCCTGCAGCGCCAGCGCTCTGCCCACCGCGGTGGCCTCCCACGTGACGTCGGCCTCCGCGGGCGCGGGCCGCAGCGCAGTCTCGAGCAGCTCCGCGTACAGGCCCAGCGCCTCGCGCCGCCCCGCCAGCCACTGGCGGCTGGCCTCGGTGCAGGGCCGGCTGTCGAGCACCCAGCCGACCGCGGCAGCGGCGGTACGGCTGGGCGCCGCGAGGGCCGTGTCCTCCGCGAGCGCGCCGTCGGCCACCGCCCGCAGCAGCCTCCGATTCAGCGACGAATGCGCCCGTAAGAGCTCGGCCAGCCCCTCCGCGACGAGGACGGCCGAGTCGAGTCGCCGCAGCAGGTCCAGGACCTTGTCCTGCTGCTGCCAGCGGGCCAGGAGCAATGACAGCACATCTTCTGGCGGCGGCGGGTCCGCCGGAGGCGCTCTGCCCGCAGCGATGGGCGCGGTGCCGTCGCAGAGCCAGCCCAGCAGGGCCTCAAGGGCGCTGGGTTCGCCCGGCCCAGGCGTGGAGAGCCATGCGCCCGTGGCGTCCGCTGCCTCCGCCGCCGCGTCCTGGGCGGGATCGGGCTGCGGCCTGTCTGGCACCTCCGCGGGAGGCGCTGGCTGCCGCGCCGCCCCTGGCGCTGGCGGGCCGCCGAGGGCCGCGTCGCGAGCGCCTGGGGCCCCGCCCTCGCGCGGAGGCCGGCCCCACTCGACGGCGTCGACGCGGCCGTCGGCGCCGAGGAAGAAAACCTGCCCGCCCAGGCCCAGCAAACGCCCGTCGGTGCTCACCACCGCGGCGCCCACTCGCTGGGCGGCGGCTGGGTCGGCCACGTCCCACAGCTCCAGCAGGCCGCGCCTCGGCGCGTAGATCACCAGCCCCAGGTGGCCGCCGCCCGCGGCGGGGATGCCGGGCCCCCCCGCGAGCCAGGCGACCTGCGCCTCCCGGTAGCCCTTCCACAGGCGCAGGCACCGCAGCGTCTCGAGGCACAGCAGCCCGACCCGCCCGAACGAGTCGCAGGCCGCGGCGAGCGGCGAGGCGCTCCCGGGGCCGGCGCCACAGCAGGGCGCAGGCCACAGCGTGTCGCCGGCCCGCGTGGGGTCCAGGAACTGCGCGGCCGCGGGCAGGCAAGCCCGCGCGCCGCCCTTGACCTGAATGTCCTGGGGGTGGAGGGCGCCCGCCGGCGCCTGGGAGGGGGCGGCGCGCGCGCCGGAGCGGCCGCCCCGCAGGCCCGCGACCGCCCTCGCGAGGGAGCCGAGCGTGGAGGCCGCTGCGTTGCCGAGCCTTGCGCGCGCGGATGCCTGGCCGTCGAGGTGGACGCGGTGGAGCGACAGGAAGGGCCCCGAGCCCAGGGCCACCAGCGCCTGCGTCGACCCCGCCTCGAAGGCTTCCTCGAGCGGCCGCGCCCGTTCCACCAGGCACACGTCCACGGTGGCGGCGCGGCCCTGGAGCTCGAGGACCTCGAAGCGAATGGAGCCCTCGCAGCATCCCTCGGCGAGGATCGCCTGGCGCAGGCTTTGCAGTTGCACGGCCGCGACGGCGCTGCCACCGTGCAGCAGCAACAGGAGTCCGCCCTCGTGCGCAGGCGGCGGGCCGCCGGACTCCGCGCCCAGGCGCGCGCGGAGGACGGGCTGGGCCAGCAAGAGGAACGACAGCACCACCGCGCCCCTCTGCGACAGTAGGCTCACGCCCCCGTGGCTGAAACCCAGGCACAACAACCGCTCCTGCCCGTGCACCAGGGGGAACCACTCCATCGCCGTGGCTTCCGTCGGCCCGCGGGCGACCACCTTCGAGGCCTCGACCGTGTCCAGGTGGCCCCTCCGGGGGCACAGGCGGAACATGTCCAGGCGCTGGCCGTCCGCGGCGCATCGGGCGATGCTGGCAGAACGCCCCCAGGGAGGCACAGGCCCCAGACGCGCGACGTTCGGATATTCTCAATGCGGGCCCCCTGGAAGTCCCGACCCTTTCCCCGGGACCGGTTTTTCATCCTGACTCGTTCTTTTAACGGTCCCGAGGCCCGCCGAAGGACCCCCAAGGCCGAAATTTGCCAAAAACTGTCCGTCCTGATTTTTTGTTACAATGCGATCGTGTCTGGGGGGCATGATCTGCGGGGGGGGGGCCGCGCGAATTTCTGGGGACGGCGCTGGGCCCCCTTACCACAGGCCTGCTTTCCAGAGCGAGGAGCGCGCCGGGTGGCGGAGCTGGATGCGCGCCGCCAACGGTGAGATCCGACGTTGCAGGAAATGCTGGATATTTGGGAAGGGAAGAGGAGGACGAGGAGAAGGAGGAGGAGGAGGAGGAGGAGGAAAAGGAGGAGGAGGGGGAGGAAGAGGAGGAGGACAATGAGGACCATCGCATGTCTTTGGGAAGGGTTCGGCTCTGCGTGCTATGGCGTCTCGAGAGCTTGCAAGGCTGCGCTTGGGCAAGCCATAGCAAATTGGAGTGGGAGTTTTGAAAACCATTTGGCTCCTCATGGGGCCTTTGGGGTGCCTCCCGTCACACAAAGCTTGCCACGCACTTTGGCTGAAGGAGGAGTTGGCTTGGTTGAGGCATCGCTGGCGAAGCCCCTTCACATTCGGTGCACGTGCCACACGTTGCAAGCGAGGGCGAATGAGTCGTCTTCAATCTTTTCAAAAAACAGCAAGAATATGGTGTCCATTGGGCTGGATGGCAAGCTTGGCCAGGCCTGCCGCGTTGCCTGGGCACTGCTCGTGCTCTCTGGCCTTAAGGGAGGCCTCCTCGATGTATCTCGAGTGGCAAACCACGCAGAGCCATCGGCCTTTCTGGCGGCGCCAGACGTGGACAGCACGGGCGGTCCGAGGGGACCGAGGGGACGAGGGGCCGTCGCAGCCCCAGGCCCAGCAGGGCCCCCGCTCGGCATGGCTCTGCCTTGCCACGATTCCGAGATATATGCCGCACCAACCACTGGGTTGGTGGCGAGGGCTGGGGCCCCCAGCCCTCTACCCCCCACCCTGGGGGCCACTGTGGGCCACAGAGAGAGACGGCCTTGGGAATGTGCTTCAGGGAACCTTTCGTTCTGAGGGCGAACTCTGCGGATTGTGCTCGCTCTTGTTTGGAGGGTTGTGGGGGGGCAGTTCGCGGCCATCTTGGCAAGTCGGTCGGTTTCTGGATCCCCTTTGGCGTGCCACCAGCGGTCCCAAATGGGGCTCGAACTCGCTGGCGTACTGGTAGGCTGGGACCTTATATACTCGAAATCCTCCGTCGCGGCTGTCTTCGCCCCGCTTGGCAAGGGAGCCTCAGCCGACAAACGTGTTCTTCCGACTGGCAAATGGGGGCGCGTTGTGGAAGTCTACGACCCTACGACCCGCTTGAAATCCGAACGTCGTTTGGTTATGCCTCGGAACTTGCCTGCTGCGCTGTGCACAAAAAACGCTGCCGCTGGCGAGGTCGAAGGGGGGGGGGGGGGGGGGGGGGGGGCGCCCCCCGCGGGCCCGCGCATGGAGGCTGAAGGAAAGCCGTCGGCCCCCAAAGTTATCTGGGCCCATCCAAGAGCGCGGGGCCAAGGATGGCCATCCATGGTTGCGCTCGCATTCAAGTACCATTCCCCCCCCCCCCCCCCCGAAAAAAAAGAAAGCTTCTTCGGGTGAGAGGCCCTTGGCAGACCATTGCTCAGTGGCGTCGAAACCAAGACCAGGGGGCCGCCTTGGAACCTTGAACGGGGATTGCTTAGGACAGCCAGCACATTCGGCGAAGGCCTCAGAGCGACTCATAGCCTTCAGGTCACCCTTTTCCAGATGCTCGTCGCGGAGGTGGGGCGACGCGCTGCGTTCGAGGGGCCCGTGCCTGAGGTCATCCTGCGGGGCGCCGCGCGCGCGCGCTGGATGGGGGTGCCACGTCCTGCTTCTCTAGGGCGATTGAGGGCCCAGATGGGCTGAGCGAGGAAGGCGATGGGGGGGGGGGGGGGGGCGTCGCGCTCATTGCTGGGCAGGTCCTTCCAGCCAGGCGCCTGCTGGGCGCAGGACAGGTCAATGGCGTCAGTTCCTATCTTCCCCGCTGCAGCACCTGCGAGATTCCCCTGCCAGGCTGCATCAAGAAGCGCTTCACATGAGATGGCGAGGCCGTTGGCAACGGCGACTTTTCATCCGCGTGGCTGGCGAAGGCGAAAGGGCGCGCCCAAGTCCAGCCTATTCCATTGAAGCTCCGTATCCAGCAGGAGGGGGCTCGATCACGTTGCTGGCAAGACGACGAAGCTCAGGTAGGGCGCGCGCTGCTTTTGATGGGGGCTCTGGGGGGCGGGGGGCCCAGACGAGGGGGCTTCAGTAGATGCAGGGTCTCAGCGCTGAGCGCCAAGCGGGGTCCTCCAGGGGCGCCGAGGAGATGCGCTTCTCGAGCGGGCAGCGCACTTGGGCAAAGCTATCTTCAGAAACAGATCACGGGCTTCCAGGAGCTCGAGTTCGGATGACCCCTAGATTCCCTATCCAAAGTAGCCTGCTTGTTGAAGCCCTGTGCGACAAGCGTCCTGGTAGCTGCACCTGCCACTCTAAGAGCTCGTAGCATGCGGGGCCGAGACTTCAGCTTGATGACGCGACATTTGAGCGTCCTCCTGGCCCAGCTCGCTAGTCTTGCTCCTGCAATGAAATCAACGCCCGGGTTGGCGGCCGATGGTTCGCGGCTGCCATCGGCAGCGGCTGGTCCAGCCCGACCCCGGGGCGACAGGCCAGACCAGCCTGGACCGCTGGCGAAAACGCCGCCAGAGCAGCCTTGTGCATACCGGTTTCATCATGGACGGTCGCTCGGTGCATGCCGGCTGAGGCCCTGGCGAGATCTCTGATGGGATACTTCTGGCTGCTGTTGTGGCTGGGCAACAGGAGATCAAGAATGAAACTCGCCAGGTGCACGCGGGGGTCGCTGACCGCCCAAATATCAACTGGCGGAAGACAGCACCGCTGCACAGCAAAGGGGGCTGCCCAACATCCCGCGGCCACACCGCGCTGCGGGCGCCCTGCTGGCAACGCTGCGGCACGAGCGGCAACAGTGCAGGGAGCTTGGTATTGGTTGCAGATAATCGCTGCCAGCGAGTCCGAGAAATTCGCATCCTCGGCCGCGGTCCTTCAGATAGCTCCATCGACATATTCGCAATACTTCGATCCAACAGAACAGCTCCAGATAACACTTTCTTGTCGCCCAGGGAATGTCAGTCGGCGCGCGTGGCCTGCTCAAAAGAGCACCTCCAGAGCTCCCTCGCCCGACTGATGTGCGAGATGCTTCCCCTGGCGCATGCACCCCCGTGCGCGAAACTCAACCTGGCGATGTTTGCCCTGGGCTCTCCAGAGCCCTGGCGTCATGCCTATGCAACGGTAGCTTGGACCTGGGGTGGGACCAACTTGTTGCTTTTCGGTGAGGACGGTCACGCGGGCTCTGATTTGGGCGGGGAACCCGCCTACCCTTTCGATGGCCCTGAGGAGCCTGCAAAGAAGATCCAACTGGGTGTCCTCCAGGAGGCTGGGGCGCCCGGGGTGGATCTCGCCCCAAATCCCGGCTGTGGTCGCACTGGAACACCGACTGGCTCGGCGAAGCTGCTCTGCCGATATCGGTTCGAGGTCGAGGCCTCTCGCGTCTGCTTCAAGAATATCAAGCCCCCGTGGTGATGCCTGCCACAGGGTGGAAAGAACGCTGCTGATCGGCTTCAAAAGGATCTACAGACCTGCCGGACAATCGGGGCAATTCTTCTTCCACGCGCGATAAGGACGCCATGGGGGCAAGCCGATTGGACCACCTGCGGGCCCACCCCGCCCCCTCGTGCATGGCACCCTTGACCCGGAGGCCCTGTCGCCCAAGCAGCCCCGAGAGATCTCGCGGCCCAGGGCTATCGAGATCTCCTTGTCTAATTCAGCCAAGACAGTGCCGATCAGCTCAAAGTCGGGCTCGTCCCTGGCGGGGTCCAGGATCGTAACTTGCACGCGCGCGCGCTGTTGAGCAGGGCGGGGAACTCCGCGACTTGCTTGAGCGACGCAGGTGGCTGCGAGAGGTCTTGCTGGGCCTGGCGCAGCTCCCCCGACGATTCCTCCCCAGCTCCCCTCCCCTATATCCATCGTGATATACCTTCGCCATCTGACAGCTGCTGCGGCGTTCTTCCAACTCCTCCTATCCTTGGCCTCGGGGGCCGATGCCAGCGCCCCGCGGACAGGAGGCACCTGGGCGTGACGGCGCCGACTGGATAGCGGCGCGCTGGATAAAATGCCGAGCGCGGCGGGCGCGGCGCCCGCGAGATGCCCGCGTGCTCGGCCAAACGCGCCAGTGAGACCAGCAGCCGAAATCGGGCAAGAGGCTCGTGAGACTCCATGCTGTAGGTAATGCTCCCTTTGGCACATGAGGTCCTCCGAAAGTTCAAGAGCCCCAAGACTTGCCCCAATCTGGCAAACGGTTGCTGGGCCCGTGCGGGGCCGCGCCAAGGATATGCTGCGGCTGCTCCAGGATCAGGATGAGATCTGGGACCCCGACCACCATCTCCATCACAACTGGCCTATGCGGGCTACACGGGTAGTCAACTAGGGTATTGGGCCGCTCCAGGAAATGCTCGAGACGACAGGGTCCCAAGAAATAGTCGATCGTCGATTTACTTTTCTTGGTGCACAAGCTGGGCTTATGTGGAACGATGATCAGGGCCCCAGCTCTGGACAGGAACTCGGCTTCGATCACCTTCGACTGCGCAACATTAAAATCTCCAGCCGCGATGGCTGGCAACTGGTTATTCGCGAATATCTACGCTGGCAAGGACAGTCAGGTTGGCCTGGGTCAGGCAGCCGCTGTCAGCGAGGTAAAGAGATCCTAGGCAGGAGGCGTGATGTCCTGGGGCCTCAGGTGCTATGACGGTGGCCCACGACTTGGGGAAATCGTCTGGCACAACTAGCGGGGAGATGCCGAAATCGAGACCCGCACGAACCCTGGCAGGCAAACCCTTTCGGATTACAAATAGCTGGTGGCACAATTGCTGGCCACCCCCTGCTAGCATACCACTGCTTTGCATTATCCAAATCTTGAAATAGAATACGTGTATCTGGGCAACCGATAACTTGGACCACTTTGGCAGCTTCGGGGAAGAAAAGGACTTGCGCGCGCCAGTGAAACTGTTGCTGGCCATCGTGAACATACTCAATGTGCTATCCTTTCGACCCACGTTGGCCCCGTGACGTCCCGGGGGAGGAGACGGCTGCGCGCTTGGCCAAGCTGGCATGCGCCTGTGCGGCCGCGCCGGAAAGTCCCTCGACGGAGTGCGCGGCGGCCGCGGCGAGCAGTGGGCGGCGCTGCTGGGTCCGTCGGGTGCTGCTGGCTCCTGCTGCTGCTGCTGCTGACCTGGGCTGGAGGCTGTAGGAGCTGCCTCCCGCTTCTCCTCCTCCTCCTCCTCCCAGTGCAGGTGGAGTCTGGCACTGACGTTTTCCAATTCTTTCCGAAGGCTCTGGGGCACACCTTTGCCGAAATTGTCGTCCACGAGCTGGAGAAAGGTGGCCGGGGCTTGCTCGGACCTTGCGGCGGCCTCAGCCGCTGCAGCACAATCACATGTAGAATGTTGAGCTTCCAGCTGGGTGACTTCACTCTTCAGCTCGGCATGGCTCTGGATGGACTTGTCGTACAGGTCAGCTCTTCTTGGGGATGATTAGGTTTTTCTAGGCTTCGCTCTTCTTGGACTGCAGACGGCGCCACAGGCGCTGGAGTTGGTGTGCCAAGCTTTGGGTCTTGGCGTCCCCCGAGGTCCCGACCGTCATCTTCCAGAAGGCGAGCGCAAACAAGCAGATCTGAACGTCATCCTGTTCACTTGCTTGCTGGCCACCTTCGTATTACCTATCAACTGTGAGGTTCACGGTGCCATTGCCTGCACGGAGGCCCCATCCATTGCGACGGTGATTTGCGCTCTGAGGCTGGCTGCCAGTATCAACTCCAGATGCGGCATCCCGACGTTGACTGGCCCGCTGGAACTCTTTGCCGCAACTGCTGCAGTGCGTGTGTCCCGCGTGGTTGCACCAGGTCCAAACCTTGCAACCAGCCGTGCTGCACACCGTGTAGCGCAGCTTCTGATTCCACCACTTGGACATGGCGAGAGGGTCTGGCCGTTTGCCGCTGCGACCAGACAAGGGGAGATGGGAGATGGCAATCAAAGGATGAATGACTGGTGGCCTGAATCCTCCACGCAGGGTCTGGTGCCCGAGGCTAAACCGCCTACCTGAGCAGCAGAAAAGGAGCTGACTTGCCCAGCTGGCTCGATAGATATTCTACCTGAGCCGAAATGGCTACGGAGGAGGAAGAGGAGGAGGGGGAGGAGGAGGTGGCATTCTTCGAGCCAGGCCGATCTGTGACGGTCCTGGGGCCCGACGGCCGGGCAAGCACGCCCGGTGCGAAAAACGTGTGCAGCACCCAGAGATCTTGCGCGAGGGGATGGCACAGCGCGCGACCCCAGGGCCCCGCACGGACCCCCTCTGGAGTTCACGCTCGCGCTGCTTGTGGGCCTTCGAGCTGAGGCACCCGTCGGGCTGCGCGGCAACGGCGACCAGGCGCGGCGGCTCGTCTCGCCTTCTCGGCCGCACGACGCAGGAGCGGCCCTGGGCAAGAGGGGGGCCCTGGCGCGCGGCCTGCGGGGCCGCGGGGGACGCCAGCTCCCCTGAGATCCTGGCGTCGCAATTTCTTCGCGCCGGGCGTCTTCGCCCAATGTCGGGCCCCCAGGGCCCATACAGGTCGATCTGGCGGGGTCCTGGGGCCCGCGCCAGCAGGTTCCCCCGGCGAAGAGTCGCTCCCCAGACGGCCGACGGACAAATCAAGTCTGTATGCGCGGTAAGGATGCAAGGGCCTTGGAGGGCAACGTTGGCATTTTTCGAACGAGGTCGGCCAGCGAGAGTCGCTGAGGATGGGCCCAGGGGGCAAAGATGCAAGGGCACCCCTGGGAAGGTGGCCCATCCCGATCACTCGTGGGCGGGTCGACTGTGAACCGATTCTGTCGTCGATCCCCCCACTCGAGTGCGGCCGACGCCTGTCCACGAGCGCGGGGTGCCCCGGCAGCACCCCTGCGAGCATGGCCCCGGGGCTGGCGCCGCGGGCCCCGCGCTCCGCGGGCGGGGCATGGCGGGGGCGCGCGCGGCCGCGCGCACGCGAGCGCCAAGAGCTCGGCGCGGACCGTGCTCGCGCACGGGTCCTGGGGCACAACCTGATGGCGGTGAGAATCGCACCCTGGGGATGGTCCAGCTCGGGGTCCTGGGAGGATGATACGTTTTCCCTGAGATGTCGGAGTTGCTGGTGGGCACTACTCATGGCGCTATGCATTATATGAAGATCAGAGCGGCGATGCGAGCTTTGGGGGTGGTTACACATTTTGCCCAGAGTTCGCCCCCCCGCGCCTCCTGTGGCAACTCGAACCCACATACACCCCGTGGAGAATCAGACCGAAGCGGTGAACGGGAGGGGGGCCGCCTGGATTATCCGCGGCATGCGATTATTGAAGGGGCCCCTGAACACACAAATGACAAGACTCGTATCCCAGGATCCCCCGTATGGTAACTGTTTTCTGGATTTTCGTCTTCCCCCCACTTTTGAAATATGTTCTTATATTTTCCTGGGGGGCGACGATCAACTATGTGCGTGTTTCCCCTCCTGAGTTATGCGGATCGCTGACGAGGTGCAGAGCGCTTCTCAGACGTGAACCACCCGCACGGGGTCCGACGACGGAGGCACCCGAAGTGGGGTCCGAGCAGATTGGGCCGGAGGCTCGAACCGCGTCGCATACAGCGGAGGCCAGTCCACAAGAAACCTTCCACGAGAAACCCAACCCTGAGGCCCCAGGCCGTCCATTGACTTTGTTGGTTTGGTGTGGGAACAGCACGCATTCCATCGCACGACCATCGAAACCCAAGAAACCCAGGGCACCCTGGAGGCAAGCAGGATGCTTCTTGGCCTGGGTCCCCACTGTAGCCGACGCGTCGGCGACGTTGGCACTGCATGGGCGCCGTCGGCGTGGAGAAAGTTGGGCTCCGCACCGCGAGCCGCATCGCCGAGGCATCTGCGATGCGGCGCGGTGCGGGCCTCGGGCACCCCATCTGCTGGGACCCCATGCGGGAGGCCCAGGGATGATCGCTCCACGTCGGCGAGGCGCCGTCCCGACCAGCCTGGCCTCTGGAAGTCCGCCCCGCTCTGGCCTACAGGCGCCCCCCGCTCAAAGAAGCACAGGAGCGTTCCTATCCCCGCTCTCCCTCTCCCCTCCCATCCTTCTCTCCTGTCCCTCTCTCCCGAGGGATGAGACTGATGGTATGATGCGATTGGTTCAGGATGCGTTCCAATAATTCCAGCGTGTATCTAGCGGCCCCCATGTCTTGAGCTCGAATGGCGCCATAAGACCCCCCGAGGCGCCCCCGAGAGGCCCCTCAGAGGTCAGAAGCCCCCAAGGGCCCCTCCCCCTTTCCCACACCGGAAAAAAAAAGCCCCCCAGATGCCTCCAAGAGCCCGCTCGGAGGCACAACCTGGGGGGTCGGCGGAATGGCGGAAATCTGGGAAACCCTGGAACGTGCCATGACCGTGACTTCTCGCTGCTCCAATCCTCTCATCGCCCCTCCCCACCCCTCTCCGCATCCATTCCGTCACCTCCTCCTCCTCCTCCTCCACTTCCTCCTCCTCCTCCACTTCCTCCTCCTCCTCCTCCTCCTCCCTCTCCTCTCCCCCCCTCCCCCCTTTCCTCTCCTCTCCTCTTGTGTCCTCTCCCCCCCTCCCCCCTTTCCTCTCCTCTCCTCTCCCTCTCTCTCCTCTCCTCTCCTCTCTCTCCTCCTCTCCTCTCCTCTCCTCTCCTCCTCCTCCTACCCTGCCCCCGTTCCTCCCCTTTTCCTCCTCCTCCTCCTCCTCTTCCTCCTCCTCCTCCTCCTCCTCCTCCTCCAGAGTGAGGCTGCCGGGGCGCGGCCTCGAGGTCCTCGCGGTCGAGGCTCTTCGGTGGCCTCTTGGGGGGGCCCTCCTCTCTCTGCTGCTGCTGCGGCGCCTGGGCTCCTGCCCAGGCCTGCCCGAGGATCGGAGTCCTCCACCTCCCGACCCCAGGATCGGACCCAGACAGGTTCGCGTCGCAACAAAAAAATCAAGAGAGGTATTTCGTCAGTTTCGGCCCCCGGGGGCCCTCGCCGGGCCTCGGGACCATCAACAAACGGCTCAGGATGAGAGGCCAAACCTGGGGAATGGGTCGAGACTTCTCGGTGTCGACGTTGTGAAACAAATCATGTTGTCGGAGGTCTGGGTTTCCGCCCCCAGAATCAGACGAAGCCAGGACGAGGAGGATAGAGAACCGGGTGAGGATCCATCGGGAGTTTCTGAGGTCCAGTGGCTCTGGAGGAGATGTCTCAGGCGGCGCGGCCTTCTCAGAGCGTCCCGAACGCTCTGAGAGCGTCCTGGAACGCTACGGCACGGATATATCCTCGCCCTGGCCCCGCCTGGCAGAAGCCCAGCTCGTCCCCGTGGCCACTTGTGTATACAGCGGAGGCCAGTCCACAAGAAACCTTCCACAAAAGACCCAAGCCTGAGATCGCAGGACGTCCATTGATTTCTGGTGTGGTAGCGCCACTTCTCCCATAGCAGAGCCATCGAACCCCCAGAAACCCAGGGCACCCTGGAGGCAAGCAGGGTGTTTCTTGGCCTGGGCCTCCACTGCATACAACGATCTGGGCCGAGGAGCTGGCCCCGGGGGGAACGGGCCGAGAGCTCCAGTGGGGCCCACGGGTGGAAGTATACGCCGCCTGCCAGAGGCGCTCGTGCTCTGCGGGGCTGTGCGGTGCAGTGGTGTGACCGCGCCGAGCCGGAGTGCGAGGCAGCAGAGGACGCGGGCGAGGAGCAGCAGAGGTGCTGTAACTGTGTGTGTGTGTGTGTGTGTGTGTGTGTGTGTGTGCGTGCCTCTGGCGCCGGCCCCGCCACGCCACGCCCCCGGATCTGCTCTGAGCGGGCCCGGCTCCCTCCCTTCCCTCGGCCGTCGCCTCGTCGCCCCCTGCCCCTCCCTCTTGTATGGTGACTGAACTTTTCTCACGTTGCCCCGTTTAGCTTCACTCGCTCGCGCAGTCCCTCTGGCTAGCCGCCGACGCAAAAGTGTGTGCGTGTGTGCAAGTGCAGAGTGGAGGGCAGAACGGGGGAAGAAGCGGGCACCGGTAATTAACCAGCCCCTCGGTCATCCATATCCCCAGAGCCGACAAGCTCAACATGATGCCAATCCTGGCGAGGTGCCCTCAGAAGCCAGGCGGACCCTCAGGATCGGGGATGGGGAAGTGGATGGGGATGGGGATCTGCTTCAGGCCTGTCAACAAGGATGCCACGCAGAGTCGCGCTAAGAACGAGCTCCAGTACAGGTCCAGGAGCGGCGAACACCTCGCTATCGCTCGGACGTCCATTCCCCGCGCCTTGCTCGGCTTCCTGCGTGTAGCTTCCCTCAACACGACCCAGAAGCTCCTCGATGGTCCTCGCTGGGGAGAAATGCGCACGTTTGAGCGATGCCAAGACACGATCGCGACGGACATTGCCGCGTCGCGTCGGCCTTCCTTGGGCCCTCACCGATCGAAGCGGCATGAGCACAATCTTTCGCAGGTCCGCGCGGACTTCTTGGGTCGGCAAGCGCGCCAGAGGCGGCACTGGAGGCGCCACCAGGGGCGACAGCGCAGACCCAAGGAATCAGAGCAAACATTCTGGATCAGCAGTCCAACATTACGATGGCGGCGAGGGCTCTGATCGTGTTTCCATACCCTGGCGCTGCGATTCTGTCACCACGCCGTCGGATGTCCCGGGCCTCGTGGCGGTCTCGCCACCTCCCATCACACAGACGCCCGACTTCGTGACAGAAGTCACGACATTGAATTCGCCACGGCCAGAACGCTCGACACGATCTTGACTGCGAGTCGATCGGTCGCGCATATCCGCATCCTTCCACCTTCGTCCCCTCCATCTCCACGAATTGTTTTTCCCTGTATTTTTTAGGAGGGGGAAGAGAAAGAACATGAACATATCAAATTGTCTGGGTTCGATTGATATGGGATTTCCCAAGCGGGATCGATCCATGAGGGGCCCCAGGGCCCAAGATGGGGCGAAAGAGCAGGTCGCTTCGTGTCCTCCCTCGACTCCCCGACGAAAGACCTCTGGAGGCCCCCGTGCATCTCCCAGGGTCTCGAGCGCAACTTGCGGTCTCTGGAATTCAACTGAAGTCCCGGGAGCCCCGCAGTGGATGACCAACACCCCAAAGAAGCGTACCCAAACTCGACCCCCTCCTCACACCGCTGGGCCACGCGGACGGGGGATCTAGTGATCGTAGTCGGCTTTCACTAGCTGCCATCCGCGGTCGCGTCTTCTCCATGGCCGAGAGCCCGAGCGCCTCCTCCTCCTCCTCCGCCTCCTCCTCGTCCTCCTCCTCGTTCTTCCGCCAGTCCTCCTCCTTCTCTCTGCTGAATGGCATGCGCAGGCCGTCGGAAGGCAATTCTCATACGCGTGAAAAGGCTCATGTTGCACTAAGCGGCATCAGAGAGGGCAGTCCGAGTGAGTTCCAGAAGCAGGGGAAGCGGTTGGCAAATGAGGTGGCGAAGAGGGGACCGAGGCTCCAGCTACCATTGGCGTTCCAAGCCCAGTTGGTTCGAGACTTTCTTTGCTTGGGCAGACTGCCTCTGGAGTGCACTGCCATCCGACCCCGGATTTTTGAACTAAGCGATCCCCATCAGCGATGAGGATGATGACGGTGAGAAGCTCAAGCATGCAGTGCAGCAAGAGGAGGAATCACAGGAGGCGTGGCTAAGTCAGCATAACGTATTGTTTGAAGTCAATGTGGCAGGAAGTGGCTATATCTCTATCTCCTGCACGAGCTGTTTAAACTGTCTCAACCTGTCCAGCAGTACCCTCAAAAGGCTGGAACATGTTTGCAAATGGAGAGAGGATGCTGGTGGTCGTGAGGCGGAGAACGCTCATCACTTCAAAAACCTCAAGCGCCCGCAGGGTTCAAGAAGCGCGTGAAGCTTGATTCGGCCAGAAAGCCATTGGCAGAGGCAAAAACACAGATGAACAAAACCAAGAAATCGACATACCCTCTGGTCGACCCGATTATTGATGTAACTACCGTCTGCACGAAAGGCGCTGAACGAGAGTGCTGCAGGGACGTTGCTAGTGGTATGAAATTGCAAGATCCTCAGGACATAATACTCGACTCTCGATGACCCCCCTTGTAAGAGCACAGCAAGATGACACCACCACCAGGGTCCTCCTGTTGGTGTAGTCCCCTTGTTGAGCGGCATCCCGCTCGACCTTTCCAATCTCCAGCTCGGGGAAGCATTGTATTGCATCGTGGACCTCTTCGCTGGAGGTGTCCCGCTGGTAGTGGCAGTGCCGCTCGATCCTCGATCCTCGACCATCCATCCTCGGTCTTCGATCCTCAAGCCTCGATCCTCCACTTTCGGCTCTCTCATCATCGATCCTTATCAGTCCTCGACCCTCGATCATCCAAGCATCGGCCCCTTATTCTTGATGACCCCCCCTTCGAACTTACGCGTACGACCATGGCCCCCTTGTTACCCACCCGGCTTCGGCGGTAATCGGCGGTCTGTTAGCGGTCATCCGCGGTCCTGGCGGTAATCGGTGGTCTCTGGTGGCGATTGCCAAGCTTCCGCGCGGAAACTGAACGGTTAAGAGAGAAGAAAAATCCGCGATTGATTGGCGCGCGCTCGAAACGGGTACGGAAACGATGCCCCACAGCAAATGTTGTCCAACAACGGCAGCGGTCGCTTTTTGAGTATCGAGGGGGCAGCTGTGGACGGGAGAAACCAAGAGGTACCAATATCACTGCTTACCCTCCAGACCTCTCCCAAGGTACATTCTAACCATAATTTCGAAGCGAATCCAGCCGTGACGACGGGGGGGGGGGCCTCCTAGGAGGCCCAAGAAGGCGCAAAACGAGGCTAGGGTAGTGGTACAGTGGAGGCCAGCCCACAAGGAACCTTCGACAAGAAACCCAACTCTGAGACCCCAGGACGTCCATTGATTTTTGGTGTGGGAACGTCACACTTGCCATAAAACAAACCCAACGAAACCAAAGAAACCCACGGCACCCTGGAGGCAAGCAGAGAGTTTCTTGGTAACGGTCTCCACTGTATCGGTGCCTTTGCCTCCTCTGGATCTACCAATACGCTTCTTGGAGCAGGCCGTGTCGCTGATCGCGCTCTGCGAGGCGCCGCTGCTGAACGGCATCCCGAAACTGGAGGGCCCCCGGAAACCCTCAGAGACGGCCGAAAACCTACGATCGAAAGCTACAGTAAGGACGGGCGGTAAGGACGCAAGGGCCTTGGACGCCGAAGTTGGCACTTTTTGGGCGGTTGACTGCCAACGCCCTGAAGGGCTGGCCAGTAAGAACCGCGAAGGGCGGGCCGCAGAGGAAAGGACGCAAGGCTACCCTAGGGACATCCGTGCGTTCCAACTATGAGTTTTGACTGTAGCACTTCGAACGGACTCCGAATCCGCAGTAGTTCGGGCGATGTCTTCAGTAGGGCATAACTTTCCGTCCCACTGTTCGACCTCCGTTGATGCCGATGTCTGCCCTACTTTGCCGTCGCTGTCTCCGCCACACCTTTGCGCCTTGCGGAAACATCCGCTCTACCCTACCTGGGCGGAGATATCCGCCCACCTCTTCGCATCGCTTGAGGTGCACTTCCGACGCGGTGATCTATTGGAAAAACAACCAAAGCACGCCGGTTCCAGGGTCAGGGAGGGGGCCCAGAGATCCGCGACGTCTTGACTTTTTCCACTGCAGGCCCCCCCAGAAGTCTCGAACCGCCTTCGGGGACCAGCTCTTCCTCCAAAATTTCTTTTGGGGGGGCGATCCCCAGGGCCCGGCGAGGGCCGCTATCGAGGCCGAACACGGCGACGAAAACTCCGTGCTAACTTGTTCACTGCGTCGGCTCCCTGGGGGGCAGCTTTTTGAGAAGGGGCCGATTGTACCAGCATTTTTGTTGTCCTACCACGACATGTTTTTAGAACCCGAATGGTAAAAACAATGTTCTCAGAAGATAAGCCCGCTGTGCTGAAACAAGACAGCCCCAGCCATAACTGCTCGGATAATAAACACTTCGTGCAAACCACACGACATCTGATGTCGTGATTTTTTCCATACGGTCCCCGGAAGTCTCGACCCTTTTCCCAATGACAGGTTTTTTATCCCGAGTCGTTTTTTGCCGGTCCTGGAGACCAGCGAGGGCTCCTAGAGGCCGAAAGCTGTGAAAAACCTCCGCCCTGATTCTTTCAATACGTTGGACCTCTGGGTGCAGGCAAGCCAGGACGCTTCGCCACTGCTCGAGCTTTGGACGGCAGCGCCCGGCGCGCACCCCGGCGGGGCAGGTCTCGGCGTAGGCACCTCCGGCGCCGCGGGCTCGGCCGCGGAGGCGCCTGGCGGCCGAGCGCGGCTGCCGACGGCTCCGCGCCCGGGGGGCAGACGCACGACTGGGATCTCTGAGGATCTGGCCTCGTCGCAAAGCACTGGCGGGAGGTTTTTCGCCGTTCTCGGCCCCTGGGGGCCCTCGCCGGGCCTTGGAATCGTCAAGAAACGACTCAGGATGAAAATCGGTCCCAGGGAGAGGGTCGGGACTTCCAGGGGCCCCGAATTGAAAAAATCACGACGTTGCATGTCTGGGTTCCAGTGACGAACAAAATCACGACGGGAGGTTTTCCAATATTTTTCGCCTCTGGGGTCCCTCACCGGCCCTCAGGACCGTCAACAAAAACGACTCAGGATGAAACTCTGGCCCCGGGGAATGAGTCGAGACCTCTGGGGGTCGGCGTTATGAAAAGACATCACGTCGGGGGTTTGAGTTGGAGGCCTTGAAAGTGGACGCCAGCATAACCACAGCGGGGGTGCCTCCACGGGGGACCCAGAGATCAAACTTACAACAAAAATAAGACGAATTTGTGTCTCAATGTTCGGCCTCTAGTGTCCCTCGCCGGGCCCCCGAACTGTCAAAAACGGCTCAGGAGGAAAAACCAGTCCTGGGGAATGGGTCGAGACTTCTGAGGACCGCGTATGGGACAAATCGGGACACCGGATCTCTGGGGAAGCTGATCCTAGATCTCGGTTTTGATGGAACTTTTCCGGCCACCAACTGGAAACCGAAGTAGTTCTACCGTGCTATGATCGGGATCTCCCTCCCTCGGTGGAGGCATGCCGCCAATATTGGTGTTGGTGTCAACCTCTGGGTCTCCGATGGCTTTGTCAATGCGCACGCCTGTTTCAAGGGGCAATCTCCCGGAGGTCCGCGTTTCTCAGATCGGTCCCGGAACCTACTCCCTGATCCGGAGGACGCCAGGGGCGGCGTCGGGTGCGCCGCCAAGGGGGCCCGACGCCGATCCGAGAAATCCGCATCGACCTCTCAGAAGCCATGTGGATACGCTTTGTTGCTCTGCGTGTTCCTCGGTCGGGCCCGGGGACCGTCCGAGATGGATCTGGGACGGACAACTTGATGAACCCAAACAGGACCCCTAACCCTTTGGTGAGAGGGGACCTAAGCTAAGAGGGCCAGAACATCAGGGATAGGATAGGGGGCCTTCTCTGCAAATGTACCAAACCAAACCGCCCAGAATTGTTATCCCTCATGCATCTCTCGATGACAACTGCCCCCGGTTGAGCAGGGGCCGACCCTCCCGGCATTCCTATAGGCCTACCACGACATGACTTTAGAACCCCAAGCTGCTCTTATGACAAAAACAGAGTTCTCAGAACGCAACCCGATGTGTTAAACTTACAAAGAGTCAGCCAGAACTGTTCTAAGATCATCTCGTGCAAACCACAAGCGGTTCCCAGAACATTCTTTGGTGGGCAGATAGGCAAGCCGGGACGCTTCGCCACTGCTCGACCCGCGGAGCGGGTCGGGAACGTCGTCGGAAGGCTGGGGACGGGACGGCTTTGGCCGTGCTCGGCCTCTGACGCTCGAACCTTGTTTTTTTTTTTGTTGTTCTGGCCTTTTCGTAGGCCGCCGTCCTCGGGACGTGTTCCAGCAAAGGCGCCTCGCCGATATAGACATGTACATACACGTGTGGGTGCGTGTGTGTGTGTATACAGCGGCCTGAAGGTGCGGGGAGGACGGAGGACGAGGGAGGAGGACGACGAGGGAGGAGGAGGAGAAGGAGGAGGAGGAGGAGGAGGAGTGGGGAGGAGGAGGAGGAGGAGGAGGAGGAGGAGGGGGGAGGAGGAGAAAGTGGAGGAGCAGGAGGAGGAGAAGGAGGAGGAGGAGGAGGAGGAGGAGGAGGAGGAGGAGGCCCGAAGCCCTGGCCCGAGAGCAGACCTCCCCGCGTCTTGTACAGACTCACGGCTCAGACGGACTCTGGCCAGCTTCGGCCTCTCGAGGCGCTCCGCCGGGCCCCAGGGCCTGGGCCTCTGCGGCCACGCCGCGGGGAGCTCGCGGCGTCGGATGTCCTGGGGCGCGCGGACAGCCGAGGGCCACGTCGACAGCGGCGCGGCTAGCCGGCGGCCAAAGCGCGGAGGCGCCCGTTCGATGGGATGGTTTTCTCCCGTTCGCGGCCTCTGAGAGGTCTCGTGTCTTTTTCCCGGGGTTGCGGCGAGGGCGTTGGGCAAGGAATCGTTGGATAAGGGGCCCAGGATCTGGAAGCTGGTGGAGCTCCGACCGCGGATGGGCCATGGATCTCACTGCCACCCTCGTCGGACAAGGATTCCCCCTTGGTCTGAAACCTCATGGGCATGCACCCTTTAACCGACGCCACCACCGCAATGTATCGCCCCAGATCCGTTTCTAATGGTCCTGGGGCATCATGGCGGGCCCCCGAGGGCGAAATCGAGGAAAAACGCTCGGATTGACAAATCACATCGTCGGAGACCTGGGGGCGGAGGGCTTAGGCTCGTGCATCTTAAACCATCAGAAAGTCTGCTTAGGGGCGGATCGCAATACATGAGGCGGTCCAAGATCGCCAGAGGCCCATACGTCGTACATCGACATTCGGCGAATCGCGGGCAACCTGGAGGGAGGGTAGCGAAACGCCCTGACGACCGGCCGACGCCGACGACGCTGGAGATCCGATGGGGAGGAAGTCAATATTTTCCGCCGCAAGGAGCGCTGTTCCTCCCCCGAGAGTGGACGGGGGGGGGGCGGGAACCGGCAGCGCAAGAAGAAGGCGTCAAGCCGACGTGCGCCGGGAGCAAGGAGGTGGACTGTATACAGAGGCATGTGTCCTGACCCTCCGCCTGCCAGGCCGATGGAGCGAGGGGGAGTCGAGGACCGAGGATCGACGTTCTTGGAGGATCGGGGCTCAGGCTCCGAGGATCGGGGGTTGAGGGGCAACAGGAGGGAAGAGCGATCGTCGTCAAGATGACGGACGTCGTCGACGTCGCCGTCGCCGCTGGCCCTTTTGGGGGAGGTCTTGGTGATCACTGGGCCCTACCCGACGCACATCGTGCCGCGAACGACCGGGTACCGGTAGCCCTGTCTGTTCGTGCAGCACACGCTGTTGGGTCCCACGCACCCGTTGCCGCAGCACGTGCTGCCCTTGCCGCATGGGAAGTTGTGGCCCAGGGAGTTGGAGCAGCAGGCGCCGCCAGCGGCCATGCACGAGTCGCCACAGCACGTGCTGCCCTCGCCGCACGGGAAGTGGGCGCCGAGCGAGTTCTTGCAGCAGGAGCCGCCCTCGGACATGCACACGTCGCCGCAGCACACGCTGCCCTTGCCGCACGGGAAGTGGCTGCCCTGCGAGTTCGCGCAGCAGGCGCCCTCGGGGGCCATGCACGTGTCGCCGCAGCACGTGCTGTTCTCGCCGCACGGGAAGCTGTGGCCCATGACGTTCGTGCAGCAGGTGCCCCTGGGCGCCATGCACGCGTCGCCGCAGCACACCTCGCCCTCCCCTGAGCAGTCGAAGACGACGCCTTTGGAGTTGGTGCACTTGGCGCGACCCGCGCCGGCGCTCAACCTCGCCGACGCCCGTACCTCGAGGAGAACAAACTGCATAACAAGATCAGCGTTCGAAGGCCCGCGCGGATTTCTTGGGTCGGCGCTGGGCCGACCTCTCTGGCGAGCGGAGCGCGCCAGGGGCGGCGCTGGAGGCGCCGTCAGGGTGCCTCAGCGCCGATCCGAGAAACCCGCGCGGATGTCCGAACGTGCACGTCCGTGCAAGTTCTTCTTCTTTGAGTTCACGAGCGGCGAAGGCATCCGTATCCGCGCTCTCGCGGTCGGCACTCTGGGGAGCGATGCCGCGGACACGCGGTGGCACGGATCCGCTCCGCGCGGGGCACCCGCGAACCAAAAGCGCCCCGTGTCCGCGGGGCCGCGGCCCAGGGGCCCGGCCCGCGAGGCCGCGGATACGGATCTGCCTCTCGCCCGCGATCTCCTCCTCGTCGAGGTCACCGCGGCCGACTTGGACTGCAGGAGCTCCACCCTCAGCGCGTCGGCCTCCGTGTGCTCCGCGGCCTCCACCTCTGCCTCGCCGAGGCAGGCCCCCGGCGCGGCGCACTCCTCGGCGCCGTCCTGGGCGCCCGCGAGGGCGGGCGGCTGCATTGCTGCGAGGGCGAGCAGCGCCGCGACCGTCCGGCGGGCGGGCGCCATGCCGGGCGGTGCCGTGGCGAGCTCTGACAGTCTGCCTGCGAGCGACGTCGGGTCCTGGCTCCGCGGCGGGGAGCGGGCAAGGTCTGAGCAGAGGGCCAGCGGAGGTGGGAGGGAGATCGCGGGAGCAGAGGGGGGGGGAGGAGAGGAGGGGGGGGCCGCCAAAGGGGGGCACCACTCGGGGGCACGCTCGACACGAGACGCTCCCACTCGCGGCTTCACGCCCGCGCACTCCGTGGAGGGCACTTACCATGGCGAAGAAATAGAGAGAGAGAGAGAGAGACCGCCAGTGATGCGGGTCCCTGCTCCAATCTACATAAGAGACCTCGTGCCCCCCTGGCGGTGCCCGCCGTGCCCTCACGAACCTTGCCTGTGATGCCTGGCCCGCTCCGACGTCTTGTTTAATCCTACCAGTCCTCTGGGCTGAGTGGAACGAGTTTTCTCAGTTCCCTGCCACAGCCCCTCCTCCCCCTGCTCGGGGGAGGGGTTTGTCATTGTTCGCTATTCATATGCACCACCTCCCCCAGGCGACCGGCAGCCAACCAGGAACAACGAGGACACAATGATCCCCCCCCTCCAACCATCCATGGTAAAAACACTACGAACACACACTATGCCTCCAAATTCGGAGCATGCGCAGCTGCGCAACCAACCCGATGCGGCCCCGCCACCATCCCGGTCAAAACACAATACAAAGTACACTCAGGGCAAGAATCTGGAGTCATGTTCGTGAGGCCCGCGAACGCTTTGTATTGTCTTTTGATAGGGGCGGCGGTGGTGACAGCATATTGCCTGCAGTCAGTACAACCTGCACCTCGCTGCTACATCTGGATCATGCGCGGCCATCCCGCGACAACTACCAAGTGGTTTTTGACAGGGGCGGTGAGGGTGGTACCGTATGGGCTGCTCTGCGCAGGCCCACCAGACACAATGATGGGCATTGGTTTTTGACAAAGATGTGGGGGCCGACACATTTCCCGAAGTGTGCTGTCACGTGCGCAGGCGCACCTGCCTGACACACTCTGCACATGCCCCGAACGTGGCGCACCTGGCGCGGCTTGAGTACGCGGCACACCTGGCGCACGCGGAGGCACGCGGCGCATCTGGCGCACCAGGCGTGCCTGGCCCAGGGGTGCCTGGCGCGCGTGGCGCGACAGGCACGCGTGGCGCACCTCGCCCCAGCGTCGCGCACATGGGCTCGGGTTTGGTTTCCAGTAGCTGTCCATCCAACGACGACCGCTGAACATGCTGAGGCTCAGGTGTTACTTATGCGTTGGAAGGGCGGGTGGGAATGAGCTAGACGGCTTGCTATTTAGCCGGGTGTCTTGGTCACTGTTCCTCATTCGTATACACCCCCTCCCCCACCCGGCCGGCGGCCAACCCGGAACCATGCCGACTCCATGAGGGCCCGCCCCCCACCATCCCTGCCAAAAGACAATACAAACCGCACTGCCTCCAAATTTGGAGCATGCGCGGCCAACCCGATGCGCCCCAAGTTCCAAGGTTCCCGGGTTCCCGGTTCCGGGTTCCCGGGTTCCCGCTTCCAGGTCCCGGGCCGATCTCGCAGGGCGGCGAGGTTCCCAGGTTCCCAGGTTCCTGGTCGATCTTCTTATCGATCGGTCTTACCATCGACCTCATTACCGACTTCTCGATCAACCTCACCATCGATCTCACAACCGATCTCACTGTCAATCTCACAAGCGATCTCACTAGAGATCGCATGAACGATCTCGCGATCGATTTCACGATCGATCTCACTGAATCGATTTCATTATCGGCCGCACGATAGACCTTACAATCGTCTTCACTATCGATTCGACTACCGATCTCATTATCGATCCCACAATCGATCGCAAGATCCATCGTATCAATTTTCAAATCATCCACTGGTTGGGTTTTCACAGGTGTAAGTTTTGACAGGGACGGCGGGGGTGTCAGCATGTTCCCTGCTGTGCGCAGGGCTACCATCCCTGACAGGGGTGCCTGGCGCGCGTGGCGCCCCTGGCACGCGTGGCGCACCTCGCCCGAACGTCGCGCACCTAGGTAAGGCTTGGGTTCCCAGTAGTTGTCCATCCCATGACGACCGCTGAATATGCTCAGGCTCGGGTGATACTTGTGTGTTGGGAGGACAGGTGGGGGTGAGCTAGTGGGTGGGCAACTTGATCACTGCTCCCTGTGAATATACACCCTTCCCCCAGGCGACTGGGAGCCAACCCGGGTCAATGAAGGCCCCCCCCACCATCCCTTGTAACAAACCATACAAAACACACTCTGTCCCCAATGCGGCCTCCCCCCACCATCCCCGACAAAAACAAAACAGAATACACTTGGCGGCGGCGGCGGCTGCGGCGGCTGCGGCGGGGGCAGCGGCTGCGGCGGCGGCGGTGGCTGCGGCGGCGGCGGCGGCGGTGGCGGCGGCGGCGGGGGCGGGGGCGGCGGCGGCTGCAGTGGCGGCGGCAGCGGTGTCGGCAACGGCTGCGGCGAAAACGGCTGCGGCGGCAGCGGTTCGGCGGCGGCGAGTCGGCAGCGGGGGCGGCGGCTGCGGCGGCGGCTGCGGCGGCGGCGGACGGCGCGGCGGCGGCGGCGGCGAACAACGGCGGCGGTGGCGGCGGCGGCGGCGGCGGCGGATTCGCCCCCAGTAGCTGCCCATCCAAAGACGACTGCTGAATATGCTGCGGTTCGGGCCAGGCTCGGGTGCTGCGTATGTGTTGGGAGGGCGGGTGGGAGTGAGCGAGACGGTTTGCGGGCGGGGAGGGGGTCTTGCTCACTGCCCCCTATTAATATACACCCCCTCCCCCAGGCGACTGGGAACCAACCCAGGTCCATAAGGGCCCCCCATCATCCCTAGTTAATAACAATGCAACCACACTCTGCTCCCACCATCCCTGTACAAAACAATACAAAACACACTCTGTCTCCAAATTCGGAGCATGCGCAGCAAACCCGATGCGGCCTTCCCCAACCATCCCTGTCAAAAAAAACAATACAGACTACACTTGGCGGCGGCTGCGGCGGCTGCGGCGGCTGCGGCGGTGGCAGCGGTTGCGGCGGCTGCGGCGGCGGCGGCGGCGGTGGCGGCGGCGGTGGCGGTGGCGGCGGCGGCGGCGGCGGTGGCGGCGGCGCCAGCGGTGGCGGCAGCGACTGCGGCGGCGGCGGCAGCGGGGGCAGGCGGCGGCGGCTGCGGCGGCGGCGGCGGCGGGCGGCGCGGTGGCGGTGGCAGCGGCGGCGGCGGCGGCGGCGGGCGGCGGCGGCGGGCGGCAGAGGCGGTTGCGGCGGCGGCGGATTCGCCCCCAGTAGCTGGCCATCCAAAGACGACTGTTGCGTATGCTGCGGCTCGGGCCAGGCTCGGGTGCTACATATGTGTTGGGAGGCGGGTGGGATTGAGCGAGACGGCTTGTGGGCGGGGACGGAGACTCTTGACCCTTCCCCCCACCCCCTCCCCTGGGCCTGAGAGGGGGGGGGCGGAACCGTCAGAGCGCCCAAGATGGCCCCAGATGGCTCCAAGAGGGCCAAGACAGCCCAAGAGGCCTTCAAGATGGCTCAAGATCTCTTACGATAGCCTCCGGCATGCCTCCAAGACGCCCCAAAGCAGCCCCAACATGATTCCAAGTGCCACTCACGCCTCCCAAAATACTTCCCAAGATGCAGGATTCCTCAAACAAGCTCCAAACCACTGTTGTTTGGTATCTCCTTTTTTGGCTTCGGGCCTGATATGATGGCTCCAAGGTGGCCCCAGAGAGGCCCCAGAGAGGTCCCAGAAGGGCCCAACACGGACCCAAGGCGGCCCCAGGAACGCCCAAGAATGGCCCAAGAGCGGGTGGAATGAGCTAGTGGGTGGGCAGATTGACCACCGCTCCCTATTAATATACACCGCTCCCCCAGGCGACTGGGAGCCAACCCGAGTCAATGATGGCCCTCCCCCCACCATCCCTTGTCACAAACAATACAAAACACACTCTGCCTCCAAACTCGGAGCATGCGCAGCGAACCCGATGCGACCTCCCCCGGCCATCCCTGTCAAAAAACAAAGCAGAATACACTTGGCGGCGGAAACGGCTGCGGCGGCGGCGATTCGGCAGCGGCGGCGGCGGCGGCGGCTGCGGCGGCGGCGGGCGGCGCGGTGGCGGCGGCGGCGGCGGACAGCGGCGGCGGCAGCGGCGGCGCGGCGGCGGCGGCGGCGGGCGGCGGCGGCGGCGGATTCGCCCCAGTAGCTGCCCATCCAAAGACGACTGCTGAATCTGCTGCGGCTCGGGCCAGGCTCGGGTGCTGCGTATGTGTTGGGAGGGCGGGTGGGAGTGAGCGAGGCGGCTTGCGGGCGGGGAGGGATCTTGATCACTGCTCCCTATTAGTATATACCCCTCCCCCACCATTCCTAATACAAAACAATACAAGACACAGTCTGTCTCCATATTCGGAGCATGCGCAACGAACTTGATGCGGCCTTCCCAACCATCCCTGCCCAAAAAAATCAGATACACTTGGCGGTTGCGGCGGCTGCGGCGGGGGCAGCGGCCGCGGCGGTGGCGGCGGTGGCGGCGGCGGGTGCGGCGGCGGGGGCGGGGGCGGGGGCGGCGGCGGCGACGGCGGCGGTGGCGGCGGCGGAGCCAGCGGTGACGGCAGCGACTGCGGCGGCAACGGCTGCGGCGGCGGCGATTTGGCAGCGGGGGCGGCGGCGGCGGCGGCGGCGGGCGGCGCGGTGGCGGCGGCTGCGGCGACGGCGGACTCGCCCCCACTAGCTGGCCATCCAACGACGACTGTTGCATATGCTGCGGCTCGGGCCAGGCTCGGGTGCTACGTATGTGTTGGGAGGGCGGGTGGGAGTGAGCGAAACGGTTTGCGGGCGGGGAGGGAGACTCTTGACCCCTCCCCCTACCCCCTCCCCTGGGCCTGCCTGAAAAGGGGGGCGGAACCGTCAGAGCGCCCAAGATGGCCCCAGATGGCTCCAAGAGGGCCAAGACAGCCCAAGAGGCCTTCAAGATGGCTCAAGATCTCTTACGATAGCCTCCGGCATGCCTCCAAGACGCCCCAAAGCAGCCCCAACATGGTTCCAAGTGCCACTCACGCCTCCCCAAATACTTCCCACGATGCAGGATTCCTCGAACAAGCTAACCCAAACCACTGTTGTTTGGTATCTCCTTTTTTGGCTTCGGGCCTGATATGATGCCTCCAAGGCAGCCCCAGAGAGGCCCCAGAAAGGGCCCAAAACGGACCCAAGGCGGCCCCAAGAACGCCCAAGAATGGCCCAAGAGCGGCCCAAAGACCCCCAAGAGGTCATACTGGAGCTTCCAAGGGGGAGGGGAGACTAAATTGATCCCCACCCCTTCTTTGATCGATCTCTTTCTAAACGACCCCAAGAAAGCCCAAAGGGAGCCCAAAACGTTCCCAAGAGGTGCCCCAGACCGACTCCGCGAGGACCTCAGGAGAGACCCAAGACGGCTCTGAGTGACCTCCGAAAAAAACTCTTCCAAGGCGGTTGTTGGACTGCGTGTTTCTACACGTCCCTGATCAAAGCAGCTCGCATGGCGATCTGTTCCTGGATGGGCTAGTGTTTTTTTTGTGCGCGAGCGCAAGCGGAAGGGCCGCGCGCCGTCCAAAGCTACAGCAAACAAACAAAAGCCGAAATTGCACACTGGAGAAAGAAATACATAAGCAACGAAAGAGCAGCGGGAGGAGAGACTAGCTGGAGCGGGCCGCGCGGCACTCACGGAGGGGGTTGCCATCGGCAGCTAGAAACCGCCGGGGGGGGCACGCCAAACTGGCGGGTAATTAGCTGGCAGTGTGGTGTCCCGTGGTGACTGCGGCGTGGGGCAAACCCGCGGGAGATAGCAGAAGCCGCACGCGCCTGCGCCTGTCCGAGGGGCAGCACGCGGGGGCTGACCGCGGCAAGGGCTACGCATCCCTGCACGGTGAGCAAGCCTTCTGCGCGTCGGAAGCAGCCACTGTGGGTGGCGGCGGAACAAGCGAGTGGCACGTCACGACCGCCGGATGGTCGCATTCCGAGTGTTGGCCAGCCACGGGTGAGGAGGACATTGAGGCAGGGGTTGGCAGCGCGCAGAGGGGGGTAGGGGGAGGGTGGAAGGCTTCTTAGAAGGAGGCTGCTTCTTAAGGCACGGGCCTTACTCTACAGCCAGGGCCCGCGCCTTCTACTAAGAAGCAGGGGTGCTCCTCAGACGCCTCCCCCGCTCCCCCTGGTTCCCTCTGCGAGTGGCCGAAAGGGGGGGGCCCAGAGACATCGCCACCGTCGCCATCGTCTAGAGGAGCAGTATAAAGCGGCCCCAGGACACACAAATAAATACACACAAATAGAAATATTCCAATATTTTCATATATTTTCTGGGTTTTTGTCTTCCCCCCCACTCCCCATATTTTCCCATATTTTCTTGGGAATCGACGATTAATTGTGTCTTGTGTTTTTTCCCCTCCTGACAATAACCATAGAAACATAAACTCTTGGAGGTCCGCTCGGACATCCGCGCCAGACGCCCCCTCCCTGGCGCGCGGAGCGTGCCAGGGGCGGCGCCGGAGGCGCCGCCAGGGGGGGGGCTCAGCGCGGATCCAGGACATCCGCGCGGAGCGCCAAAAAGTTTATGTGTACGTATGGCGTTTGCTCTTCTTCGAGCCGTTGCCGCCGTCGCCGTCCTCCGCGGTCCTCGATACCGCTACTCCCCGGACCTCTCCTGGGGTGCGTTCTGACAAGGATTCCGAGACGAATCGAGCGGTGGCGACGACCAGGAGGCCCACAAAGGGGGCAACGAGGGGAGGGTAGAGGTATGGGCACCATATCTTCCTCTGAGTCCTCGTCGCCGCCGCCCGCCGTCGCCGCCGTGGCCGTCGCCGATGTCGGCGGTCGTCGTCGTCGTCGCCGTCGTCCGTCGTCGTTGTCGTCGTAGTCGTCGTCGTCGTCGTCGTCGTCGTCGTCGTCGTCGTCGTCGCCGCCGCCGCCGCCGCCGCCGCCGCCGCCGCCGCCGCCGAAGGAGCGGGGGGCCCGCCCAGCCCGGGCGCGCCGCCACCGTGCGCGACCGGCGTCCCGTCGCTCGCCTGGGTGCGGGTCGCACCCCGCGCCGTCGCGGGGCGCGTTTCGCGGCGGGCGGGGCAGCCTGCTGCTGCTGCTCGACCTCCGCTGGGCGCGTCCTACCCTTCCACAGACCCCCCCTGGTCAGGAACAAAATCATGACGGCGAGTTTTTCACCATTTTCAGCCTCTGGGGCCCTCGCCGGGCCTCGGGATCGTCAAAAATGACTCAGGATGAAAGACCAGTCCCCCAGAATGGGTCGAGACCTCTGGGGGTCGACGTTATGAACGAATCATAAAGTCGGGGGTCTGGGTTTCGGGCATCTGCAGAGCCCGAGGCAGGCCTGAGCTGAATCGAATCGCAGACTCGGATCGGACCGAGAACGGATCGGATCACCAGCGACTCTTCACGAATCGAGCTTGGATCGCCGCTCCAAGCTTTGGCTGGCCCTGGCCGTTGCCAGAGAATCAAGCCAAACCGAGTCGAATCGGAATCGCAGCCCCGGCTGGCGAATCGAGTCGTATCGAATCAGGTCGCATTTGGCCCTGCAAGGCCTCCGGGCCACTTCTGGACCCCAGGGCCCTGCGCACACAGTCCCCGAGAAGAGGTCGTCTACTCCTGGGACTCCTGTCCCGCCCATGGAGGAGAAGGACTAGGTCCCAGCATGGCCCCAATGGACACAGAAGTGCCGCAGCATGGCTGGCTCTCGATGGCCATGAGGCTGCGGAGCGCAGACGTTCTTCTTACCCCGCGACTTGAGCAGAATGCGGCGCCGAAGGTCCGAGGTTACACGCGTCTGCGCCCACACGAGCGGGAGAGACGCGGAGGCAACGAGCAGGGTGTGCACGAGCACGGGGCCATCGCCAGGGCTGAGCGCCAGAGAGATATGCGGCTGACGTGTATCCAAACTTGCCGCCGCCGCTGGCACCCTGGCGCTCGCCCCACCACTCCCCCAGGCTGCTCTGAGTGGGCCCAGCTCCTCCTTCCCCCACCCCCCCTCCTGGACCCGCGCCGCTCGTCCTCCATTCTCCCCCTCTGCATGGTGGCTGAATTCGCCTAACGTGCCCCGTTTTGCTCAACTCACCAGCGCAGTCCCTCTGCCTAGCCGCCGACGCAAAAAAAGATCCAAGCTGGTCGCGTCTCAGCAAGGCCGGGCCGCCGGAGCTATCCAAGTCCCCCAAATCCCGCGTGCCCCAGGGCTCCTTGACGCCACCAGCCTGCACGCTCGAGGTGGGGACGGATGCCACGACACCCGACGGAGAGGGCACCTATCTCCTACAGTGGAGGCCAGTCCACAAGAAACCTTCCACGATAAACAAACCCTGAGACTCCAAGACTTCCATTGTTTTTTGGTGTGGGAACGCCGCGCTTTCCACAGCAAAACCGTGGAAACCCAAGAAACCCCGGGCACCCTGGAGGCAAGCAGGGTGTTTCTTGGCATGGGTCTCCACTGTATCCAAACTGGTCGCGTCTCAACAATATCGGTCCGTCGGAGCTATCCAAATCCCCAATCCCCAGTGCCCCAGGGCTCCTTGGCGCCACCAGCCTGCACGCTCGAGGTGGGGCCCGATCTCACGAAACCCTGCGGAGAGGGCACCATCCCCTATCCCTGCTTACGGCGTTATAGATTGGACAGCGGGGCACAGGCTGTCCCAGTGGGAACAAGATTGATGTCTGACGATGTTGAGCGTCAGGTGACTCCAGCAAACCGCACGGCGTCCCCCAAGGCCCCCGCCTTTCCGACCACCGGTGTCAGCGTTGCGGCCTCGTCTTGGCACGCCCGAAACTCGCCATCGCTCGGACGTCCATTGCCCGTGCATTTTTCGGTTTCGTGTATGCTTTTTGTTGCCAGATGATCCAGGATGCTGCTCGATGGTCCTCACCGAGAAAAAAAAAACGCACACGTCCGAGCAATGACAAAGACAAGGATACGGGAGAAGTGGGTACGATGCCCAACAACAAATGCTGCCCAAACCATGCAGCCTCCGCCGCCGAGCGTGCGACTTGTCGTCGTAAGTGGGCAACTTCCGCGGTAACACCGGTAGCGAGCCCAGCTCAAAATGGGCAGGAACTGTTGTTGATCTTCGTGCCCGTTGTTTTCGTACCCACCTCGATCGCGGCATAGACAGAGCGCGCTGGGAGGGAGCCAGGGGTCTGAACTGGATGGGCCCCGAGAAGATCGGTCCAGAAGGGGCACGAGGGCAAATCCGTTCAGGATCGTTCCCCGGACCCCTGGGGGTCGATCCGATGTTTGACATCCCTGGGGCCGCACACGGCCCCCGGGAGAGCGGGCAAAAACAAAGAAGCTTCCCGAGCCCAGCGCCTCGAGCCCCTCCCCTCCCCGTCCTGCTGGCCGGAACCAGGGCTGGGCCGCCGGAGGCCCCCCGCCGACTCCACCTCCGGTCGCACCGATCGTCAGCACAGGCAGAGCGCGCGACGAGGACCCGGCCAAACGGGGGGGGGGGGGGGGGGGCATTTCTTCGCTACCCCCCCGTGTGGGGCGCTCTCGCCCCGCTGGGGAAACCACAAGGTGGTGATACCGCTACCGCCTGGACCTCCCCCGGGGCGCGTTCTCACCAGCAGTTCGAAGCGAATCCAGCGGCGGCGACGAGGGCCTCCCAGGAGGCCCAAACAGGGGAAAACGGCCGAAGGGTAGCGGCATGGGCACCTTCTCCACCTCTGGCCACCGGCCGGGCCATGAGAGTGCACCCGGCGCGGCCTCGAAGGGGACGCGTTGGCTTCCCATGGGCAGGGGCGGCCCAGCGCAGCGGAGGGCCCTTCCGGGCGTCGGCGTCGCGAGCGCGACGGCCGCTCGCGACGCCGGGCAACGGCAGCCATTCGAGCGCAGGGAAGGCACGGGTCTCACGGCCGCACCCAGGACAGAAGAGCATCCTCCAAGAGCATGAGACCTTCGCGCAAAATGCGACTCTCGCCTCAGCGCCGCGCGCAGTCGCCGTTGAACAATTCAAGAGCTTCACGGATTGAGGGCGGGTCGTTTTCAACATGTAGTTCGGGGCTCAGCGCCGCGCGCGTTGGAAACAGTTGCGCGAGCTTCACGGAATGAGGGCGGCTCCTTTTCAAACTGTGGGTTTCGCTTTACGTAGCGCCGCGCTGGAGAACATCCGCGGGTACCCTCCCCAGGACATCCAGCAAGCGCGACGAACATGAGGGTGCCCTCCCAGAGCCGACCCCGATCTTACGCCTTGGTCCGGCTGTGCGTGAGATGACATAGCGACGCCAGTGTCGGTGAAGACGGCCCCGCTTTTCCACGTCGCTCCCCTGTCCTGGGGGGAGCCAGCAGCGGGGGTCGCGGCAGCAGGAGGATAATGATAACGGCAGGAGACTGGAGGCTGGGCAGGGAGAGCAGGATGAGACATGAGTGGAGGGAAGGGTCTCGGTTAATGGTGACACATCTAAAGGATAGAGAAGAGAGAGAGAGAGAGAGAGAGAGAGAACAACAAACAACCAAACAAATAGAGAGATAGAGAGGGTAGTTAACTATGTGTATATAGACAGAGAGATAGAGAGAGAGAAAGAGAGATGGAGAGAAATGGACAGAGGGAGGGAGAGCGAGAGAGATAGAAAACAAAGCGTGCTTGTCGGACGTCTCGGAGTCTGGAAGTCTGATCCACAAGGATACGAGGAAGATGTGTGCGCAGCTGCCAAGGAACTCTTGGAGGTCCAGCGGCCGCGGGCCCTTGGGGAAGCGGAGGACGCGGAGGAGAAGGAGGAGGCGGAGGAGCACGACGACGACGACGACGGCCGACGGCCGAAAAACGAAAGCGACGACCATGGACCAAGGTCAGGACATTTCGAGCCTCGGGGCCTTGGATCCCTCGGCCCCCGCAACAGACGCGGAACGAAAAGTGACCGTCAAAGAGATCAAACGGACTCGGCCTCTGAGCAGTCTTCCTGGGGGGCCCTGGGGCCCGAGAACGGCCTCGCTGTGGCCGCACGCGCGGAAGGACCCGAGGCTCGATACTGTCGAGAGCCTCCCCAGACCCCCGACGTCATGATTTTTGTCATAGCGTCCACCCCCAGAGGTCTCGACCCATTCCCCAGGACCGGATCTTCCTCCTGAGCAACTTTTTGACGGTCCCGAGAGCCGGTGAGGGCCCCCAGAGGCCGAACATCGGGGAACACCTCGCGTCGTGTTTTTTGTATACCTCGAGGGGGTGTGGGTCTGGAGGTCTTGTGGCGGCGGCGACGAGAAAGAGGACGACGCAGACGACGATGGGGGAGAACGGTGGCCGCGGTGCTGGCTGGCGGCGGGCCGTCAGCGGGCAGCAAAGGAGATTTTTTGGGGGTGGAACGGGCCTGGAGCAGCTGCAGCTGCTTCGAGATCAGGAGGTTCTCCTCCGGCGAGGGGGGCGGGAGCGGTGCCCCCCGGAGGGCGGAAGGGTAGAGGGCGGAAAATCCACTCCCATAAAAACCACCCCTGCAGGCGAAGCCGTTTAGCAAGCGCCCCCAAGGAATGGATCGAACATTGCAGGGCTGTTTCGTAAACGCCCAGGGCCGTCAAGTAAACGCCAATTGTCGGGGTCTGGGTTGATGCTGCTCTCATCGTACTTAAGGACCATATCCCAAAAATAATTTCGAGCACCCAGAAAACGATCGAAACAGTGCGAACGAGTATCACCTCCCAGGGCTCGACACGTGAAAACCTTCCAGTTTCGGTACTTTCTTGGTGCTCGCATTGTCCTGGTGATCAAAGCTAAAGTAGGCTGGAACATCACATAAGCATGGGTGTTTGTTCCTTCCTTGAAAAGGGGGCCGTTTTGTAAACGCCAACTGTCGGGGTCTGGGTGGCTTGTCCTCAGCTCTTCCTCCCTTGAGTGAGGCGGGGGCGCGGCGAGGAGGCCCCCCGACGACCGCCCCAAGCCCCGCGGAGCGGCGCCGTGTCCTCCTCCTCCTCCTCCTCCTCCTCCTCCTCCTCCACCTCCTCCTCCTCCTCCTCCTCCTCCTCCTCCTCCTCCTCCTCCTCCTCCTCCTCCTCCTCCTCCTCCTCCTCCTCCTCCTCCTCCTCCTCCTCCTCCTCCCTCCTCCTCCTCCTCCTCCTCCTCCTCCTCCTCCCCTCCTCCTCCTCCTCCTCCTCCTCCTCCCTCCTCCACCTCCTCCTCCTCCTCCTCCTCCTCCTCCTCCTCCTCCTCCTCCTCCTCCTCCTCCTCCTCCTCCTCCTCCTCCTCCTCCTCCTCCTCCTCCTCCTGGGCCGTTCTCTCGGCATCTGGGACGGCACCTCAAGGGTAGCCAGCGAGAGGGGCTTCTGAGACCGCGGCGCCGACTTTGAGACTTCGAAGAGGGCGGGTGGAATCGCAATGTGGCGACCATGTGGACGAAGCCGAGCGGGCTTGAGAAATCGGCATCGCCCGTCTCCAAAATCCTTTTTCCCTGGGGCCCCTGTTGGAACCGCATGAGCCTAGTGGGGACCCGGGGCCGTCAAGAAACGGCCGGGGATGAACAAAAACGGCCTCTCGAGATGGTCGGGACTTCTGGTGACCCCGTGTTCAAGAACAGTGCGCCGAACCTCTGGCGAGGACGAGGGGAGAGGGGGGACGCGAAGGGAGAGAGGGAGGAAGACCTTTTCCTCGTCCTCATCCACCTCTGCGTTCACCTCCTCCTCCTCCTCCTCCGCGTCCTCCGTCCTCACTCACCTCCTCCTCCGTCCTCATGCCGCGTTCACCTCCTCTGCGTTCACGTCCTCCTCCTCCTCCTCCTCCTCCTCCTCCTCCTCCTCCTCCTCCTTCTCCGTCCTCATTCACCTCCTCCACCTCCGCCTCTTCCTTCTCATTATCCTTCACCCCTTCTGCCTCCTACTCTCCCTCCCCGTCGTGAGAGGACCCAGGCACGGGCCCCGGCGTCGTGACTCTCCACGGCGTTGACGCAGGGGAGCCTCGGCCCCTTCCTACAGGACCCGCCCTTCAACCCGAGCCGTTGTCTGGATGACCCAGGGGCAGGCAAGGGCCCCACGGAGGCCGAACATCGCCGAACACCTCGGGTGATTTCTTCTGCACGACTCCAAGGAAATCCTTCTCCTCCTCCTCCTCCGCCTCCTCCTCCTCCTCCTCCTCCTCCCCCTCCTCCCTCCTCCTCCTCCTCCTCCTCCTCCTCCTCTCCTCCTCCTCCTCCTCCCCTTCCTCCTCCTCCTCCTCCTCCCTCCTCCTCCTCCTCCTCCTCCTCCTCCTCCTCCTCCTCCTCTTCTCCTCCTCATCCTCCTCCTCCTCCCCTCCCCCTTTCCCTCCCCCCCCTCATCCTCCTCCTCCTCCTCCTCCTCCTCGTCCTCGTCCTCGTCCTCGTCCTCGTCCTCGTCCTCGTCCTCGGCATCGTCTTCCTCGTCCTCGTCCTCATCCTCCTCTTCCTCCTCCGCCTCCTCCTCCTCCATTCCTTCTCCTTCTGGTTCACTTCTCCATGTCGCACCTCGAGGCCAGATTTTAGGACTGGCCGGGCTTTTCGCCCTCACCACAAATGACTCTGAACCTTCAAAAATGACATCAGCTTCACGGATGGAGGGCGGGTGGTTTTCAACATGTGGCTCTCGCCTTAGCGCCGCGCACATTCATTCGTCAAATTTGCAACGGCTTCACGGATCGAGGGCGGAACCTTTTCAGCATGTGGCTCTCGCCTTATTGCCGCGCACATTCGGTTTAAACATTTGCAAGAATTGTGCATATTGAGGGCGGGTGCTTTTCAACATGTAACTCTCGCCGTAGCGCGGCACACATTCGTTTTCAACATCTGCAAGGGTTTCACGGATTGAAGGCGGGTGGTTTTCAAACTGTGGCTCTCGCCTTAGCGCCGCGCACACTCGTTTGAAACCTTTGCAAGAATTTCACGGGTTGAGGGCGGGTGGCTTTCAACAATGTGGCTCTCGCCGTAGCGCCGCGCGCTTTCGTTTGAAACCTTTGCAAGAGTTTCACGGACCCCCATGATCAACGTACCAGAACTTGTGTTTTGGAACGGTTGAGGATTATGCGGGCGCAACAGCTATGTTGACTCGCTGTGTTGAAGTCCCCAAAATGGCATTCTGGCACGATTCTGGATCGTCAAGACGCAACAGTCAGGTTGATCCGTGGCGTTGGAATCCCGAGAGCAATTCTTTGGCATGCTTCAGGATCTTTAAACAGTTGTCTTCCAGCGAGGCAGTTCCCTGAATGGAAAAGAACCGCTGTAGAAGCCTGTGAAGAGGGAGCTTGAAGAGAGGGTTAGTTCCAACATCGTTGATGACCCTTAGGTTTCCACTTGTCCTCCTCCTCATCCTTCTCCTCCTCCTCCTCCTTCTCCCCCTCCCCCTCCTCCTTCTCCTCCTCCTCCCCCTCCCCCTCCTCCTCCTCCTCCTCCTCCTCCCCCTCCTCCTCCTCCTCCTCCTCCTCTTCCTCCTTCGCCTCTTCCTCCTCCTCCTCTCCTCCTCCTCCTCCTCCTCCTCCCTCTCCTCCCCCTCCTCCTCCTCCTCCTCATCCCCCTCCTCCCCCTCCCCGTCCCCCTCCTCCTCCCCCTTCCGGCTCTCCTTTTTCTTATACTTAATTTCTCCCTGTCGCACCCCGGCACCAGTTTTTAGGGCGGGCCGGTCGTTTCGCGTGAGACTTCCTCACCAATTATGATTCTGAAGCTGAGAAAATTGACAACAGCTTCAGATATTGAGTTCGGGCCGTTTTCAACATGTGGCTCTCGCCTTAGCGCCGCGCACACGCATTCATAAAAATTACAAGAGCTTCACGGATTGAGGGTAAGCCGTTTTCAACGTGCCATTCTCGCCTTAGTGCCGCGCAACCGTCGTTCAGAAATGTTTGCAAGGGTTTCACTGATTTAAGGCGGCTCCTTTTCAACATGTGGCTCTCGCCGTAGCACCGCGCACGCTCGCTCATAACACTTGCAAGAGTTTCACGGATCGAGGGCGGGTGGTTTTCAAAATGTTGCCCTCGACTTAGCGCCGCGCACGTTCGGTTTTTGTAGATTTGCAAGAGCTTCACGGATTGAGGGCAGTTCTTTTTCAAAATGTGGCTCTCGCCCAAGCGCCGCGCACATTCGTTTTTTTCAACAGTTTCCAAAGTTTCACGGGTGCCCACCATCAACGTACCAGAAATTATGTTTTGGCAGGATTCAGGATTATGCGGGTGCAAAAATTAGATTGGTTCTCTGTGTGGAAATCCTAGGCGAGGCGTTCTGGAAAAATTCAGGATCGTCAAGACGCAACTGTCAAGTTGATCCGTGGCGTTGGAATCCCGAGAACAATTCTTTCGCATGCTTCAGGGTCTGCATACGTTCATACGGGCGTCTTCCAAAGAGGCAGTTCCATCAATGGCGATGAAACGTTGTACGGGCCTATGAAGAGGGAGCTTGGAGGGAGGGTTTACTCCAATCTTCGTTGATGACTCTTGGGTTTACACTGGTCCTCCCCCTCCCCCTCTTCCTCCTCCTCCTCCTCATCCTCTTCCTCCTCCTTCTGGAAGACCGGCTCTGGTCCCATCCAGGGGGCGCCTGGACCCCAGAATGCCGAGGCGGATCCGGTCTCGGACGAAGGAGGCCCCCGGGAGGCCCCGAAAAGGTTAACAGAAAAACAGCGCGCACTCACAAACATTGATTTGGGCGTGGTAGTGCCAAGGAGCTGGAACCGCACGCGGCTAGAATCACAGGTGGAACACGTGGAGGCCACGAGCTGGATCGACATGCAAAGGACCAGCGCGCCTGGCCGTACGAGGGCCGAGCGCAGGAGCGGCACGTGGCCTTGTATATCCAACTCTCGCCCAGGCGAGCCACGTCATGTACATCCAGCTTCAACGAAGACTCCCCCCCCCTCTCTTCCACGGAGAGGGGTCTGGGTGCGGCAGATTCATGTCTTGACTCCTGCGTTGGTTTATCACGCCGCGTGGATATTTCAACCTTGCCCGAACGCTGATGCCGGCTGTGCTCGCTGTCGGCCGATTCCGGGCCGCTGGCGGCGTTCAGCCTGGAGAGCCCGCGACAGGGTCGCCGCCAGCGTAAGCATGGCACGAAAGCACCGAGGCAGACTCTCTCCCCACACATCCGATGTAGCGTTTTTTTCTCAACGTGCCTCGAGGTCTAGACCCCAGGGACTGGCTTCGCACCCCGAGCCGCCCTCTGACGGTACAGAAGGCTCAGCAAGGGCCCCAGGAGCCCGACAACTGCAAAACAACTTCGGGTCGTGATTCTTGCTCGACGCCAGAGGAATCTGAGCCCTCCTCCTCCTCCTCCTCCTCCTCCTCCTCCTCCTCCTCCGCATCATCATCATCATCATCATCATCATCATCATCATCATCATCATCATCATCATCATCATCATCATCATCATCATCAGCAGCAGCAGCAGCAGCATCATCATCATCATCATCATCATCATCATCATCATCACCTTTCTCCTCCTCCTCTTCTTCCTCCTCCTCCTCCTCCTCCTCCTCCTCCCCTCCCCCTCCTCGTCCTCCTCCACCACCACATCCTCCTCCACCACCTCCTCCTCCTCGTCTCCTCCTCCTCCTCTTTCCTCACAGTCGGACCCTGGCATCCTGCGGCGCCCTTGGGGTCAGAATGCCGTGGCGGATCCAGCCGTTGCCGCGAGACGCCGCCCGGAGGTCCCCCAAAAAGCAAAAGTCTCATAACCCAGAGATTCGATGTCTCGAATTTTTGGTGCGCGCGATTCGCGGAAAGCCCGACCCTTTCCCGAGTGGAGGGAGGTTCATCCTCAATCGTTGTTTGATGGACCCGGGGCCCGGCGAGGGCCCCTAAATCGTCGAACGAACAACACGTCGTGATTGTCCCACAGCTGTGGTTTAGCATCAACCTGGTCAGAAGGACTGCGCGTTCATTGACGTCTGCAAGCTTTGCTGATGTGGTTGCTGCTGGTTTTCCAGAGACTGTGCGGGAGGGCATACGGTGATCATCGTGCATTCACGTCGTCTACAGGCAAGAGTGATCCCTGGCAAGAGTGACCTTCGTGGTGCGCGGCTGAACGGGGGACGCAGGGGGAGCCAAACACGGGCGCGCAAGACGCTACTATCGCATCGCACTTGGCGACCAGGGGGGCCCCAGTGGGCGCGCACCAGAGGTCACTCTGGCGAAGGGTCACTCTTACGTGCAGTCGCATGTCTGGGGTCGGCGATATGCCCGGGAATGTCTGGGGCGGCGCGAGCCCCCCGGGCCTTCTCGCTCAGCCGGAGGAGGTACGTCTGCAGGGGCTGGCCGCTCATGCCCAGGTACGCGCCCCCCCCCCGCAGGGCTGCCTTCACGGCCTCGCGGCATGTGTGCAGCAGCGGCTCCGCGTGAGGCCGGGCGCGGCAGGGCGAGGAGGGCCGTGCAGATTCCGAGCTCCGGCCTTCCAGGAGCTGCGTGGGTCTTCCTCGAAATCCTGGCGCCCAATTTTTTTTTCGAGCCAGGCGTTTTCGCCCGGTCAGGGGCCTCGTGGCCGTCACAAATCGATCCGGCTGGAGAACTGGCTGGCGCAGAAAGATGGGGTGTGGGGCTTACGGATCTGATCTTCACGATGTTGCATTTTTCGTGGGTTCCGAGCTCGAACTTCGAGGATCGAGGGCTTATAAAGGCATCGGGCTCGGAACATTGAGCTCCCCCAGGTAGCCCTGGCTGGCCTCAGCGAGCCAGCCGACCGAGTATTTCCAGCCGGCCTCAACAGGCTCCCCGAGTGGCCCTATGCGGTCTGAACATCTCAACCCTGGGGCGCGGAGCGCCCCAAGGGCGCAGGCAGCGCCAGGGTGTTGAGACCGTCCTCGGACTGCTCGGGGGGGGCCTGTTGAGGCCATCTGGGAAAGGGCACATTGGGGCCAGCTGGGGCTACCTGGGCCTGGGGAACTGCGCAAGACGAGACGCTGGCCCTGGAGAAGGACGCGGCACTTTCGGGGCCCGCTCAGTGAACATATCAAAGCATCGGATCCCTGGGGCAGGCGCAGATATGGCTGGTGTTCCTATCGGGTGCCCAGGGGCCCCCGACACCTTTCCCTGGGGGCGGTTCTGCTTCCAGTACTTACGACTTGGTGGTCCCAGGGCCCGAAAGCGGCCTCCTGCGTGCCGCGATCGACAAAATCACATCGTCGGAGGTCTGGGGATGGATGCCTTGAGTTGTTTCTCTCGCGCGGCAACGGGCTCCGCCAGAGCCGCGCTCTTCGCACGAACGGCAAGCGCCGCGCCTGTTGTACCTTACCGAGCGTTTTTTGGCATGTCTGACGCCTCTGAGGGCCTCCCGGGAGATCACCCCAAACCTCTGAGAAGTGACCCTAGGCTCTGATGAGTGGTTCGCGGCTGCTTCAGGGGGGTAGGGGGGGGGCAAGGGCCTAAATACAAGTGTGCGGGCCCACGCCGAAAGGACCCCCTGTTGGCCCGCACCAGGAGGTCACTCCGACGAAGGGTCACACTTACGCGTAGCCGACCCTCGTCGCCCTTGGAGGCCATGCCATCCTCGCGCCGGATAGAAAGACTCGAGAGAGCCACGCCGTGGGGAAACAAACAACACAACGTCGGATGCATAGGCCTGGGGGCGGGGCCCCACGAAACCTCCAATTGTTTTCTCGACGAGGGGGGTCCTAATGGCACCTCGAAGGCGTCGTACACAATGCAAACCGGTACGTCGCAAGCATCTCGTGCCTAGACCGCTGTCCGCTTTGCAGGGCTGGTGAGTACCGCTGTTACTCTGCAACGTCGAGCGGGCGAAAACAGGCAGCTGGTGCATGGGTTATTCGTTAGGCGGGCTCAAGTGCCTATGAGCATGAGGAAGAACGCTTTGGCAATACTAAACGAGAGGGGGAATAGCAGGCGGGAGTCCTCCCGCCCTGTCCACTTGCCATTGCATACTACCGAAAGGCTAGATCTAGCTTGTCGGCTTCCCTGGGCACACCACCCAGGGACGCCAAGGGCAGCGGGTCTCTGACTGACTGCATCGGCCACCAGCGTCGCCATCAGCATCAGAGGGCGGGAGGGGGGGACGGGAGCGGGCGTCAGTGAGGCCCAGCGAGGACGAGTGGCGACGCCAATGTTCCTCCCTCCCCCCTTGTCCTCACCCAGAGCGCGTGCGCGCCCGCTGGGGGGAGAGCGAGGAGGAGGGAGGAGGAAAGCAGGAGAGCGAGGAGGAGGAGGAGGAGGAGGAGAAGGAGAAGGAGGAGGATATCGAGGAGGAATGGGGGAGGAGGGAAGGAGCGAGGGAGGCAGGGAGGGAAGCAGCGAGGGAGAGAGAATGGGGGGGAGAGAGGCTGGGAGCGAGGGAGGGAGAGAGAGGCAGTGCGCGCAGGAGCGAGGGGGATAGTGGGCAGAGGTTGCGCGGCGGCCCACCAGGCCAAAGCGGTGAAGCGGGCTCATATCGCCAAGTCGCCATGGCGGGCGCAATACATCTCCCACCGCCCCCCCCCCCCACACACACACTCCATGCAAGAACGAGTGGAGGCCGATGGAAGATGGAGGGGGAGGGAGGGAGGAGGGGAGGGAGGAGGGAGGCAGGAGGGAAGACGGAGGGAGGGGGTCGACCTCCTCCTGCTCCTCCTGTTTCTCTTTCTCTTTCTCCTCCTCCTCCTCCTCCTCCTCCCTCCCCTCCTCCCTCCCCCGCCTCATCCCCTTTGTCCTTCTTCTCATTCTCTCTCCGCTTCCTCCTCCCTCTCCTCCTTCTCCTCCTCCTCCTCCTCCTCCTCCTCAACCCTCCTTCCTCCACCTCACCTTCCTCCTCCTCATCCTCCTCCCTCCACGTCCCTCTTCCTCTTCGTTTCGTTTGGAGCAGTTTAAGGCGAGCTTTTCGGGTTTCATGCACATGCGATTGCGGACTTACATGCACCTGCCATTACAGCAGACGGGCATTGTGCAAGACCTCCTCAAGAAGGGCACTGGCTGCTAAACCCAATATTTTGGAGAGGCGGGTGGAGAGGAGGGATTTGTGGTCCTCCTCCCCGTCCCCGTCCTCCTCGTTCTCGGCCTCGTCCTCCTCCCCTTCGCGAGCCTTAAGCTCATCTTGCACGCCGGACAGCTCCTCCCCGCAGCTCTCCATCTCTGCGGAGCAGGCGGCGGCGGTGTCTGAATACAGCCCTGCCGGCGGAAGGGGTTGGAGAAGGGGGGGTAAAGGGAGGATCACGACTCACGACAACGGCGGACGACGACGAAGATGACAAACGAAAACGGACGTTGACGAATGACGACGGACGCCGACAGACGGACGACGACAGAGGACAACGCGCCACGACAGACGACGACGACGATGACGACGATGACGACGACGGAAGGACGGACGGACGGACGGACGGACGGACGGACGGACGGACGACGATGAAGATGATCGACCTCCCGACATCTCCTGGATGGTTTTCTGGCCACGACTTCCAAGTGGATCCAGCCGTAGCGACGAGAGCGACCATCGAGGGCCTTCAGAAACACATGCCCCACAACATCGAGCTCTCGACCTTCGGCGACAACGACGACGAACGAGGGACGAAGTACCACGACGACGGATGACGACAACGGACAACACGGGCGACAACGGCGGCGACGGACGACGGACAGCGACGACGACGCTGGCGGACGACGGACGACGACGACGGCAACGACGGATGACAGACAGGCGGCGATGGACGACGGCCGATGTCGACGACGACGGACGACGATGAAGGCGACGGACGACGACGGCGGAGGGCGACGACGACAGCGCCGACGTCGACGAGCGTAAGGGTGCAATGTTGAAGGATAGCATCAGCGCGCACGTGCGCGGCAACCGTCGGCATTCGGGCACGAGAGCCGCCCAGGGCAGCGTGCGACGCAGCCTGCTCCAGACACCCGGCGTCGAGCTTCCTTGTTTTCATTCGGTCGGGCGTGTCCTCCTACAGGTGGTTTTTGGACGAACAATAAAAATAATCAAACAATAATCAAACAGATCAAACAAATTCGAAAATCGCCTCCAGATAAGTTTTTAAATTATGTTTGAACATTCCTCCCGTGGAGGGACACGCCCGACTTAAAAGTAGCCCCCAGAGGCCCGGGCCCCTTCTCTGGGACCGGCTCCTCGACCCGAGCGGCTCTCTGACTGGAGGCCTCCTAGGTGGGGTCGGAGTGGACGGGGTCGCAGGACCGCACCGCATCGCCGATCCATCGGCGACGCATCGGCGATGCACCGGTGATGCACCTGCGGTGCTTCGTCGACGTGGGCGACGCATGGGCGACGTCGACGTGAAGCAAATCGGACTCCGCATCGAGTCGCGTCGGCGATGCACCAGCGATGCGGCGCGATTCTCCGACCCCATCTACTCTGACCCCATCTTGGAGGCCTAGAACGAAGTACCCCCCCTAGAGGTCTGGCCCATTCCCTGGGACCAGCTCTTCAACCCGAGTCGTTCTCTGACGGCCCCGGGCTGGGTCGTGGCTCTCAGAGGTCGAAGTTCATCACGCACCTCCGGGTCAGAGAAAAACGCCATGAACATAAACGTCTGGCGCTCCACGCAGAGTTCTTGAATCTGCGCTGGATCCCCCTCCCTGGCGGCGCCGGAGACGCTGGAGCGCACCAGCGGCGGCGCCGGAGGCGCCGACGGGGGGGCCCAGCGCGGATCCAAGAAATCCGCGCCGAGCGCCAAACGTTTATGTTACTGTTGGGTCGGGCATGTCCTCCTACAGGCAGATTTTGGAGAGAAGTAACAAATTCAACTAGTAATCAATACTCAAAACTAGCAGAGAAGTGTCGAAACATCGTCCCCAACTTTTTTGTTTGACTATTTTTGAATATTCCTCCTGTAGAGGTACATGCCCGACTTAATGTTAATGGCGATGTCTTCTTCTTCGAGCGTCGTGTCTCTCCCTCAACGGCGCGAGGACGCCGTGGGGACTCTGCGCCGCCCTGCTCCAGCGAGGAGCACATCGCCGCCCGCGGCGAGGCGAGCGGCCTGTTCTGCGCGCTCCCGCGACGGCGCCCCCTCGCTTTGGCGAGAAGGGCAGCCGCTCTAATTAGAGAGCCCCCCGACGGTGACGCGCCCAGCGCGGAGGAGGAGGCGGAGGAGGAGGAGGAGGAGGAGGAGGAGGAGGAGGACCCCCGACGGCGACGCGCGCAGCAAGGGCGGCTCCCACGCCCAAAGACGTCCTGCTCATTGTTTTCAGGACGGGGGCCCCCCGAGGCCTCGACCCCCCCCCGGGCCTCATCCCCCCGAGGGGCCTCGACCCCCTCCCCAGAGACCTCGACCCCCAGGAGGCCTCGACCCCCTCCCCAGAGGCCTCGACCCGCCAGGGGCCTCGACCCCCCAGAGGCATCGACACCCTCCCCGAAGGACCACCTCTTCGCTCCGAGAGTCGCTTCTGGACGGCCCCCGGGGGCGCCCGGCGAGGGTCGGCAGGGGCCGAAAACGGCCCAGAGCGGTCCCTGAGATCCGACGTTGCGAAGAAAGTGTAATATCGTACAAAAAATCACGCCCGGAGCCCTAGACCCCGTCTGTCTGCGTCATTTTCCGAAACGGATCGATTTGTACGGGTCCCGGGGCGAACAAAAATGACAACACTCGGCATGAAACAATTGAGACGCCAGGATCTCAAGGTTTCGCCGTGTTCTTTTCACGACGTGAGGGGGTCTGGACAGCACAGCGCAGGTGCGGCGGCGGCAGCGGGCGGCGGCGGCGGCGACGACCCCCCCTGGCCTGGCGGGGCGGTGGACGGCGGGGCGGTGCCCTCGCCCGAGCGTCAGGCGCGCCGCCGTGCCATGTGGGCCCTGCAGGCCCCTGGACCTCGAGCCGCCAAGGTCGAGCAGGGCTTGGTGGCGGCGCGCACCATGGTCGCCATGACGACACAGACATCACTGGGAGGAGGAGGAGGAGGAGGAGAAGGAGCAGGAGGAGGAGGAGAAGGAGGAGGAGGAGGGGGAGGAGAAGGAGGAGGAGGAGAAGGAGAAGTTGGAGGAGGAAAAGGAGAAGGAGAAGGAGGAGGAGGAGGAGGTGGAGGAGGAGGAGGAGGAGGAGGAGGAGAGGAGGAGGAGGAGGAGGAGAGAGCAAGGAGGAGGTGCAGCAGGGCTTGGTGTCGTTCTCCCCACGCCGCGACAAAACTTATCACTACGGAAGGTTGTTGGCCGTCTCCGGCCCTCGGCCTCTTGGGGGCATTCGCCCTACGCTACCTAACTTCGCGCATCGCGCCTCACTGTGCGCGACGCCGATAATGCTCGCGCACTCGCGCCGCCCCCTCGGAGAAGGGCAGCCGCTCCGGCCCAGAACGGGACATTCGAAGCGCGATTCTCTTCGCACCCCCGCGGGTGACCTACACTGGGCCTCAGGGCCGTCAAACAACGGCTCGGGACGAAGCGCGGGTCCCTGGGAGGGGACGCGGAAGGAGTCACAGCGTCGGATGTCTGGTCAGGGGGTGGCGGGAGAGAGGCGGCCTTCTGACATGGGCGGGGGCTTCGACAACGGCAGGTGGCTTCTTGAAGGGTATCCAGGACTCTGATGAGCCTTCTGGAGGCACGCGGGCGCCTCTACGAATGTCCCTGCCTTGAAATAAGAAGCCCCCCGCCTTCTTAGAAAGCGGCCCCCCTTCGCCCCCCCCCGCCATCTTAGAAAGCGGCACCAAACTTGGGGATGAGAGAAAGAGGAAGGGAGGGAGGGAGAGAGGGAAGGAGGGAGGGAGATGGTTCCAGGATCGAGGTCACGGAATATTTTCTTTGCCTTCCTCTGAATATCCATGGAGGGGCACGATCGCCGTGGCAAGATTCCTCCACGGAACTCACTTCAGGGCGAACGCACCCCTGGACTGGGTGGGAGCCTGCTCTCGAGGGAGGACGAGAAAGGCTGAGAGAGAAAGGGGCGGGAGGAGGAATTAGACTGACGAGTATGATGCAAATGATCATGCTGATGCTGATGATGCTGCTGGTGATGATGATGCTGGCGATGATGATGCTGATGATGGTGGGGACGATGATGACGGTGATAATCATGAGCACATGAACATGTTGACGATGATGATGACGATGAAAGATGATTATGGATATGATTACAATGATGATGCTGTTGCTGATGATGCTTTTGCTGATGCTGATGAAGGTGATGATGCTGCGGTGTTTGATGATGATGAGGATGGTGGTGATGATGTTGGGTCGCATGAAAGTGATGATGAGGAGGAGGAAGATGAGGATGAGGAGGAGATCGGATGTATGTGTTTCTCACTGCGGGACCCCACGAAGTCTCGACCCTGTCTGCGGGACTTGATTTTCATCCTGAATTATTTAATTAAAGGCCCTGGGGCCCGGAAAGGACCCCCCACAGGCCGGACAAGAAATTTCCGTCCTGCTTCTTTGCTACAAAAAAACGGTGCGTGTCTGGGGAATGGAAAGGAGGGAAAAGGGAGGGATGAGGGAGCCTCTGGACCCCCTCCTTCGGCTTCCAACTCCGCCATGGCAGTGCTTTTCTTGGAGGCGCGCCCAGCTTCGGCCCAGAGCGCCACGGCCTCGCGTGCGAGCTCGTCTGCTGCAGGGTGTTGGGCGCTGTTCACCCCTTCCAGGGAAGCTTGGCGCATCCTCGCAACCTCGGCCCGATCTCCATGGAATTCCTGGACGGAACGCAATTCGGGAGATGTCAGGGGGTCGATTTTAAAGAGGAGGCGAGCAATTTCTCGGATGGGGTCGGCGGTTCTACAAAGTTCGAACCTGCATGCTATTACTATAGGCACTTCTGATGACCTCCAGTTTGGGGGCACGTGGGGCTCTGTAGAGTCCATGAGGGAAGCAGGCGGTGGACGAGAGATGTGCTGTTGTTGTAAATAATAACTGTGAAGGCGCTGATGATGAATACGACGATGCTGCTGCTGATCGGTGATGCTGCTGCTGATAATGCTGATGATGACGAATAGGCTGCTGATGGTGATGGTGATGGTGCTGCTGATACTGATAATGCTGATGCTGATGCTGCTGATGAGGATGGTGATGATGATAATGCTGATGAAGCTGACGGTTCTGATGGTGACGACGATATCTATGTACATATATATATATATATATGTATCCCCTCGCGGCTCAGCAGGGTTCAACGTTCACACGGCACAGCTCGATGAGGCCTCCGGCCCATCGGTTTCCTCTGAAGTCATCCAGGCGATGCCGTGTGCATCTGGTTGCCGTGGCCGCGCACGGGGCGGCTTCGAATTATTATCTAAGTCTGTCATGCGCTGTGGATCGGGGCGCTCTGATTTTGTCGTATCTGCAGATGCGAGCAATGCCGCCACGGATGAAAAAGCGAGGTCATCGCGTTGGTGATTCGTGCATGTGGGAAACGGAATAGCAGGGGTGGGAGGAAGCACGGACGACAGAGGAGCGCAGGATGGGGCGTGCAAGTCGGGGGGCACAAGGCTACATTGACGGACGGGGGC